ATTATTTCGACAAACGGCTCAGAATTGTCTTATTTTGACGGACACTGTCACTTTTTCCGTGGGGGGGGGGCGGTAACCTGATGAAACATCGTGTAATAACCCAGACATTTTTTTTTATCAGGGGTCAATTTAGTACCAAAATAAGTTTTGTGGAATGGCCATATGAATGCCGTAGCAACCGATTTCACTAAATAGACTGCGTCACATATAATCTGTCTTATTTTTCAACATTGCCTCCGTAAATGTAAGACATTTTTTTCTGGGACCCAGACTTTGTGATATGATTACTAACCAACATTAAACACTAAATTGCTGGATTCTCCAAACAAAAGAACAGCTTCACATTACTGTGTTGTCGTTATTGAAAGCGTTACTACTTGAGAAGGAATTGGAAATATCATGGACGAAGTCGCACTACCGAATCATTTGCTGTATGCTTATCCCTCCACCTTTTCATCCATGTCTTGTTTTGATCTTGACAGTAGATAGTTGTCAGCGACTGGGTCTTGAAGACGGCACCATTCCCGATGAGCGTATCCGAGCATCAAGTGATGGTGACTTTAATCCTGCCGCCATGGGACGACTGAATGGCCCGTCGTATTGGAGTCCAAAATACTGGTAGGTCACTGTTCCCATCAGTGCACTGCGCGGTTGGGTTGTGTCTTAGTCTTAAGACTGCACTTGCACCTTTTCCTGCTACTCCGGTCCCGATCTTGCAAGTGCCGTTAATCCATCTCGGCGCTAGGGGGCGCTATCAACAAGATGATCACATTTTTACTCGGGAACTTTGGCACTGCGACCCAGAGAATGTCCAAGTAACCCTTGCGCGCGCTTGAGATGCTCGGAATCTCATGAGTCCCACTGCTACGGTTCCCATCAAGACTGCATTGGATTCATCTTTCTGATTGCGACGCCTACCACCGCCGCAGCTTGACGTAAGTTGATAAGTCAGAGACGTTTGGTAAGTAGAGACCGGATGCCTACGGGACCAAACCAAAACAACTACAGCCTTGGACAAAGACTACACCAGGTTGAAATATTGGCAAGCTTTCGTCAGTTTTTGTTCTAACTCTTGCGATTCCGTCCTGTTGGAGCTGAGAATAATGTTTAATGTTCAATCATAAGGGACCTAAAGGTGGTGAATGAACGTAATAATTGTTATACCATGAAAGAAGAAAAAAACCTTTTAAACATTTATTCATAAATGCCTGAGACAGTTTGCCTATTCCTATTGGTCGAGAGGCTGTCACGTGGTTGATTTTAAACCAACGGGGAAACACCGCTGCATTGTGCGCCAAATCGCGGATTACGCGCCTATCCCCTCATAAAGATATTTTTAGCACTACGCGCGCGAGGCACATACCATCGACATGTCCAGAGAGGTGCTTCACATATGACGAAAACATGTTAAGCCAAATCGTGGAAATTTTGTCAATTTTTGACCTAGTATTTGGACTCTTCACCCAAAAAGGTATAAAGTACTATAAAACCCGGCTAGGGCCCGGTGGTTGATAATATAGCTCACCTGCGGCTTGGGCCATTATTGGCGACCAGACCCCGAGCCGGTTATAAAAGAACTTGTTTAGAATTGACCAAGCACATATTTATTCCCTTATTAATGGTGCAAAATCGGCTCCTGTAGGCCTTTGTGCACCTATCCATTCAGATTAGCGCATGCGTACTTGGTCTACATATCACGTGGTTATCAATGTTTATATAAGGGTTTCACTAGAAACCCATTCTTGTGCACCTTTAATGTACCCTCGTTTTAAGATGACACTGAATTGATTTTCTTTGGTTTTTAGTGATCTTGGCAGCTCGTCCTGTTGGATTGAGGTGGATCTCCTCCAAACGACTAAGGTTTCTGGCGTCTTCACGCAAGGAAATAAACTAACCTGGTTCTCATATCTTGTGACAGAATTTAAGGTGTCCTACAAGCCTACACCTTCATCTAGCTACGAGTACATCACGGAAAGCAACGGTGATATCAAGGTAGGCCTACAGGATAAGTGCTACTAATAACTGTTATTGAGCAAGATAGAGTTTGATGTGATTCAGTTTCCGAAGAGTTCGAATTGTGTCGTCAAAACGTAAACAGAAGCACCACACAAGCGGTTTGACTATTAAGTTAAACAGTCATATAGTTAATTAGTTATCGCAACCGGATCAGAAAAGCAATTACAATTTTTTTGCAAACATTGAAATGAAACCACAGACGTACTTCAATATTTGTGTGTACTTTTTGAGAGAAAAATGTGATTATTTTAATTTTACGTCTATTTGTTTGCACAACGTTTCGTTCTATTTTCTGTTCTTTTCAGTTTTTTGATGGGATGTCATCTCTGCTTCTACCCCACACACTAACTACTTCAACCCGGCCGTCATGGCGTCTACTGTTCGCATTTACCTTACTGTATACATTGGTAAACGTGCGCTTCGGTTTGAGTTGATTCAATGTCCGATGGATTAATTCCATGTGGATTGATATTCATTATAGAAAAGATTCCTGCCACACGATTTTAAAGAAAAAGGAAGAATAAATGTGAGAAATTAAAGCGATTTTCAATAGCACCCTTGAACAAAGACATTGAAATAACATTGGACCACCAACATAGGAATGGGTAGCCCGGTTGGTAGCGCACTAGAGGTCGCAGGTTCAAACCCAGCCCCAGACAGGTTTTGTTTTTGTTCAATTTTCTACTCGTTTTTATATGCACCTATAAACAATTTCACTTTGTGGTTTATTCGAAAAGTTAGAAATGAAAGAATATAGTATCTTTCGGTTGAATCATATAGATAGAGCAAACAGATGCAGTTTGGTGTCCGTGTTGTTCATTTTGAATGTACATGACAACGGTGAATTGTTTAAAATCGCAGAGATTTGGTGGTTTGATTTTTAATTAAATGGTTGTGTCGATAAATAGTTCAACAGAACAAGTTACTTTAATCAAGCTGTACAAACATGCAGTAGTGCTATATAGTTTAACTCTTCATTTGGGATCGTAGGATTAATGTAGGATTTTAAAGCATTTCCATGCTTCACATTGCACGCTTCCTCGCACTCATGAACCCAGTGATACCTCAACAACTTTATCTTTAGCACACAAAACACGGTATCGTTGATATAAACTTAATTTACAAAAAAACTGTGTTGTTCCTAAACTTAAATAGCGAATACTGGCTCTCAACAACAACAGCAACAGCAGCAGCAGCAACAGCAACAGCAACAGCAGCAGCAGCAGCAGCAGCAGCAGCAACAGCAGCAGCAACAGTAGCAACAGCAACAGCAGCAACAGCAGCAACAACAGCAACAACACCAACAACAGCAACAACAGCAACAACAGCAACAACAGCAACAACAGCAACAACAGCAACAACAGCAACAACAGCAACACCAACAACACCAACAACACCAACAACACCAACAACACCAACAACACCAACAACACCAACAACACCAACAACAACAACAACAACAACAACAACAACAACAACAACAACAACAACAACAACAACAACAACAACAACAACAACAACCAGAGTCGACATTTACGCTGCCGTATATATATAATGACATTTTATTATGGACTGTCATCTAAGTCATTATTTGCTCAGTGTGTTATTTGGATATTTTTTAGACTAAAGTTCCAGTGAACAAAATTCAACTTCACTTCGCGGTTCATAACAGAAGTCTTTTACATACTTGTAAATAGGCGATCTAACGAATGTGCGTCTGAGGATTTTGAAACATGCACTAAAAAACTGATATGAAAGCACTTAATAACGCACAGAAAGTACACTTCAATGTTTGACGGAAAACATGGTGAAATGTTCCCAGCTTTCTCACTTATGTTGATGCCAACCACAGCCACCGCTATAAGTTCTGTGTCTACGATGGTTGGTTAACCTTTTCGCTTCACTGCAAAATCTAAACACTTTCTTGCTACCACTTCATAACAATTTGGTATAAATACCAAACATGTATAGAGTATTGATAAACAGTATTTAGCAACTGTACACTGATGTTCAGGCATTGGACACGAAATGTTTAGCCTCTAAACCTGTTCACAAAGTAATAGCAAGATCATTTGTGTTTAATTTCTCAACGCAACTTAAGGAGTGTACTCTTGATTAAAATAATCATTATTACTAAAATTGTACCATTAAACAATATTTAAACAACATCTTGAGTATATAAATAATTAGAGACTTTGCTTAATATGTCTCGATTTTATGCTTAATATTAGCGTATAAGTATCTCAGTGAAGTCATCATTTTGGAATTAAAAGCACTTATCTTAACGTTGACTAGATCCAATGGTTCGCATTTTACGACAAAGGCTTTGTTTTCGATAATATAAATGTTAAATTAATAATCTTGTACAATGAGCACATTTTATCAATTGTATTAAGTTTGATATGATTGAAGTTTACAGCATAGTTTACATCATTATGCCCACATGGTGTCTGGGTAAATGTTCATATATCAATTACCGCTTGTTTAATTAGGCATAAAGTAATCAATTAATGATATCATATGTGACTGCAGTTGTCTCTTCAGTTCTTGAATAATTAATATACTAAGGATTCGTTAAACCAAAGCGGGAAAAAACACGAAGATGAATATAGGACAGGTGGAGACGGCGAAGAATGTGGAGTTTAAAATATAGGAGGAAATTCCCTGCTAAACAGGGACAAATCGCATTAGATGAAATGAAGAATATATCGGTAAACCTGCTTGGTCTTACATCAGTCTAAGTGAGAGCGCATATTCAATTGATTTACAATGGATATTGTCTGGCAGACGTGTCAAACATCTGTATGGGGCCAATTTCACGGCGCTACTAAGCACAAAAATTTGCTTAGCACAAGATATAAAAGCAGGTTACCAGCCAAAATTCCATGTGATGTATATTGATCGTGATTAGTATTCAACTGTTGTTTGCTTAACATGAAAACCACATGGAGTTTTGGCTGGTAACCTGCTTTTGTAAGCCAGAATTTTGTTGTGCTAAGCAAATTTGTGTGCTTTTTAGCAGCGCCGTGAAATTGGGCCCTGGTCTACACAATGACCCAGATTTAGCACATTACGGGGTAATCCTATACGATAACACTGCCCAGCGCTCCGTACCGCAAACAGTCATGTCAGTCAGTCAGAAATTCAGTCAGAGATAGGAACAAAAAGGTTAGTAGCCTGGGCCCCCAAGACGAACAGAAATTTGCTGAGCTAGAATTGAAACTAGATTTCATCCTGAGGTAGAAGCGAAACCTACCTTTTAAAAATCCTGTCTGACGTTACAAACACTTTAGGTATCAGTTACAAATTAATGGACATGCAAATCTGACATTTATGATGTTAAATAACTTGTTCCACACTGGTTCATCAATAGTTCTCGTAGATTGAGTCCGAATCCAAGTAGGTTTGGATCACCTGATAGCACAGTTGGTACTGAGCCTGAAATTAAGAGCAAAACATAGGTATGAGTTGATTTAATTCATGTTCACATTTAAATGTGACAATTACACGGTTTCTAGTATGGAGCTTGCCCCAAAAGTGGTGCGGCGAAGCGTCTGGGTTTTTTTTACTTGTTTTTTTTTTTAAATGTCGGCTGATGACTGCAAATGGTTCCTGACTAAATTTAGGGCAAAATGTAACGGAGCCCAGAGAGGCCACATAAAGTTTATACTCGACCGTAATAAAAACACGTTTAAATTGTGCAGCAGTAGGATTCCAGTCAAACCAGTGAGTTTGGCGGATTTGAGACAGCATCTTAAATTGAAAATAAAAAACCTTTTTAATTTTGCCGACGCGCATGGATACCACGACGCGCTTGCAGACCAGAAACCGGAGCCTTTTTTGGCCTCAGTATCCATTTATGAATAAAAGTATTGCTTCAGTTATAATAACCCCACTGTTTTGGCTACTGCTCTATTTTTTCACCAATGTTGAAGCAACAAAACATCTGATTTGGCCACGAAGTAAGAACCCAATGCACACAAAGCCAATCAACAAGACAAGGTTTCGAAAAGTCCTAATACCACATCGCAATATTGTACTTAAAATCACCCATCATACCCCGGTACGTAGGTGCAGTAATAATGACTTGAAACGTACCAACGTGTTGACCATCCCAGCCCGGGTGATGCGGAGTTTCTTGATGGCTTGGAAGACGTCTACGTCTTTCTCCACTGCGAGTTGGTCCAGGAGTGTGAGTATGGCGCAGAAGGTTCCGCTGCATCCAACACCGTCACTGAGACAAGAATTAACAGTTTGGTGAAGAAAAGTAATTCAATTTAAATTATTAACATTAATTTAAAATGGCAGAAACACACTTCATAAGTACAACGTAAACGCATGATTGTGAATGATGTAAATCGAGGACATGCCATCGGTCTTCCTCTGTTTATACCTCTCATCGGTTTTATACACGTATACCAATCGAGGACTGTCCTCACTTTGTTTCATAATCCCCAATCAGAAATGAATTATGGGTGTCGTCGATGAAGAACAGGAAAGCTGATGAAGAAACCTACAGGAATAAAGTTTAGTTCAGACTGTTCAGACAGAGGGAAAAAAGTTCAAGCTGTAACGACATTTCAGAGATCCCATGGATTAAAATATGCATACCTACAACCCCGGCCAAAATGGTTGGGACACTTCCTGAGCCTGCTACGGTCACCCACTCCCCCGCTCCCCCGGTCAATGTTGTTCTCTCCAGCTGATAGAGCACACACCGCGCAATGAGAGACAACATTGAACAGAGGCCGCGGGGTTGGGGGCCCAGCGAGATTTGGCCAGGATTGCAGGTAGGGAAAGTGAAACTGCGCGGCTGCCACGGTTGACAACTTTAGATTGTATCTCCTGTGGAGTACTTACATGCAGTGGACAGTGATTGGTCCATCAGGGTGGTCAGTCGTCCACATCTTAACAGCCTCCAGCACCTTGAGGAGACTAGACGGGGATCTTGGAACCTCCTTCCCTGGTGGCCATCCCAGGTATTGGATCTGACAGACGCTCTGAACCTCGTCATTCTATTTGTCAAAGTAATTGGTTGAAATTATTGTTTGTTTTGCTTACTAGCAACAAAACCTACAGTATTTAATGGCAAAATCTGACATCTAATAATGATTCGTGTGCTTCGTGGGTATACGAACATGTACCAAAAGAACGAAATTGTAGGCATCGGACTGTTTCTAATGACATAATCTGTTTCGAATAAGCTGCAACTTCTATAAAATATTTAACAAACAACATTCGACTTATAGCTACGGTCACCCATTATTATAGAAATACCCAATCAAATCGAACGAACGTATGGTCGACGATAAGTGGACAAGTCTATTCGACCAATAGGGTTAGCCTCCCTGAGATTGGTCACATCGCTGGTTACCAAAAGAATGCGGGCACTCAGCGTAATGCAGGGAACCAGGACATGGACGTTCGAGCATAGTTCGACGAGGTATCCTGACTCAAAGTTAAAAGTTAGCGCGCAGGCGCAAGGTGCGTCACGAGTCAACGACAAATTGAAGAATGGTCTTTGATAGAACTTTCTCATTTGCCTACCTTCCTAGCGGGATAGCTAACATCAAACTGCCGTATGATAATGTCCTCGCTATACCGGTCCTCATTCGTCAGTGTAACGGTCAGTGGTCCGAACTCCAAACTGTCCTTCTCTGGCCAATACTGGACAACGCTCTGGAAAAAGAATAGCAACAGTCACAAGACATTTAGGCTAATGGGAGGAAAGTACAGTGTGTACTTCTGGTATGGTGCATATCAGGCCCTCTAGCGGTAACATTTGGGGAGAGTAATGACGTATCCTATCAAGGAGTTTGTGCAGTATTCAACAGATGTAGATATCTTGTGGAATATCACCATCTGTTGTGTTCATGTAATTATTATGTTCTTGAGAAATTCAAGGAGATATTTTTTTAACGTGTCAAAACCAAGCCACCCCTTGAAATATAAGGAATTGCATATACCGGGTCATTGTCCATAGAATTGAGCATGACGATGCAAGATGCTTTGTAGTCGAACACCATCCTCCACATATCACCCCGTGTGTTAGGCAGAGGTGCCTGGGTGGCAAGGTAGGCATGCTTGCTGTTATAACCCTGTAAGATAGAAGAACACAGACAATTAGGTTTCTATAACTCCAAGGGTATTACAATTTTGCATATAACTACGCTATTTAAGTGTTTGTAAACAGTAATAAGAAATCAAGCTGACACAAAATACGCACTATAGTCTGTGCCAACATTTCAGGTGTTAAGTCATGGGCGTGGGCACGATATGGGAGGGTGTTACACAGTTAAGCTGTACGTTTTGGAGAAGTTTAAGGGGAATTACTCTAGGGGTTGACGGGTGAGCTATGGATCAAAGTTATTGTCGATATTGTATTGGCAAGTATGTAAGACTCACATCCAGGAATGTAGCGTTGATGTAATTGGTACTTCCTTCGTCACCTTTGGTCATCAGATACGGTCGGGTGCTGTCTTCTGTTAGACAAACAGTTTCGATGAAAATTGTAAACTGCATGTCGTACAAGGCCTTGATATTTATAATCCAAAGTCAGTGTAGAAATAAACAAAACATTTTAAGCACTCTACACTTGTCTTTTAAACGAATGCTTATTGGAATGAGGTTGGAACACAAAATAAAAAAAAGCAAAAAAAAATCACAAGAAAAATAGTTCAACTTAAGAGAAAAAGAAAAATGTTTGCTGTATTGAGCCAACAAGCTGACAGAACCTAAACAAATACAGGAAAACCGTTTATACGTACTCACCAAAATCTGTTACTGTGGACCGAGAACACTGTACCTATATTTTCTAAAAATGAAATGCACTTTCAAGCAGTTTTGAAAATAGGTAGTAACGGTAACAGTGGGTTTGCATGTGCCAGTAATATGTGCCTGTTTTGGATACTGACTTACTTGGAACGCAGTCTTTGAATCTATTTTTGTCAACGTTGGCGGCGCTCCTCCCTCCCATACACTGCTCCTCGCTCGGTGAGGCAGTGAACGACTCCAACATCTGTGAAGGTATCAAAGAGAAAAATGGCAATCGATCAAAGATAATCAGCAGGTTTCAATAACTTACTCTGGGTCTATCTTCTTCTATTCGTCGTTACTTATTACTTCAGATTATACCTCATTTAGGGTTCATAAAGAAGTTTCAACTTAATAAATAATAATAATAATAATAATACTTGTGGGGCATTCAGGCTCGGGACCGACAGGGCAAAAGTGTTTGTTTCCCTCAGAGGCAGTCTCCCTTAAAAGTGAGCTAACAGATTAACCAGTAAATCCTTAAATATAAAGTACCCCCTTGTGTCAATTTTATTTTACCTTTAACTTTCTGGGCTTCTCTGCGGTATTTCATATAGCTCCATGGGTAGGACACATGACTTTTATGTACGTTAAGCCATCTTTGTCACTAAAAGGGTAATATGGGAACTACGATTCACTGCTTATTACGAAGCCCTTCCCAAACTGTGTAATGCCCAGTGTTTAAGAGTTTTGTCATCGTTAGCAATTTACCGGAAATATTAATTCAACTTGCCTGGAACTGCGCCTCGATGCCAGTAGTCCCTGCTTTCTTGTCCCGTTTCTTGAGTTTAGCGAAGCTCTGATGGAAGCGATCAGCACTGATGGCCGTGTTCTCTGACAGACTTGACTCCAACAGAGCATCGAAGATGAACTTGTATTGATCCTAGAAATACAAACATGCAATATTGAGATGTTACATACTATATGAACCCTTATCAGTGTGTTTGCAGACATCTTTCACCATAGTGTTGTGGTCTATCACAAGTCCAACAAAACTTCGCAAGTGAATCACTAAAGTCAATCACAAGTCTTCCATTCCTCATGCAAGTTGCAGGCTATTCATATGAACTCACACAAAGGCATTCCTTTGTTATTGTTCATCTCTTGCTACGTATGACCAGACTTGTGATTGAGTTTGTGATGGACTCGACTTCAACACTGACTATAAGCTTGTTTTTGTATCGTCAGTTTAGGTTTCAATTTACAAATTCGAGACTGGAAGTTTATCCGAGACCAAAAGACTCACCAGAGTTTGGACCATAAGGAAGCGCTGATTCCTCATATCGCGTACAAACTTCAAGACATCGACTTGGCCCTCTGCCTCCGCCATCTCAAGCATGGAGTCCAAAGTGATGAAGGTTCCTGTGCGGCCAACTCCAGCACTGAATAAGTTAATGCGACAGAATACAACAATAAATCGAGTGTGTTCAAGACTTTTCTCCACAAGTTGTTACCTGATCAAGGGGAAACGAGGAACTTTTCATCCCCAACTCAGTGTGAAATTTGAGGATAATTAGAGTTTTTTTTAAATGTATAGACATAAAAACGTACTGTATATTTTACCTGCAATGGACAACGATGGGTCCATGTTGTGAAGCGTCTGTTGCTCGGACCGTTCTGACAAACTGAAGTAGCGGAGATGACTCTGGTGGTTTCATGTCTGGCCAGGTGGTGTAGTGGAACTGGGTTAACTCACGGTACTCACCCTCAGGCTCAGTGCTCTAAGAGACCCCCCCCCAAAAAAAAAAAACCAAAACCCGCCAATTAATATTAACATTTCTTACTGCAAAAACTGCATTGTTGAACTATGTGCACACGGTCGGTGTTGCTTTATCATGTTACATTTCTGCTGTGTGTAAAAGAAGGATACGGCGAAGAGTGGCATCGAAGGGTACTGCAGGCAGTTTATTATTGTAAGTGATGCCATGTTTTAATTCAATGCCTACTTGTTACTTTTTTCTTACAACTATAAAGTACTCAATATAAACCCAGTATCGCCGTTCGGATGAAATATGAAGATGAAACGCGCACCAGCATTTCAGCTGCAATTTACTTCTTCCACAGAAACCGTGTCTTTCAGTAAATTACTTTGGCTTTGCAAAACCATTCTTGCACTCTGGACTTACCTTCGACACGTGAAAAGTCCTCACAATGAAATTGGCATGTTTTGTTTCATCAACATTACGGACAAACAGTTCTCCGTAGTCGGCAATGTCATCGGGCCAGTACTGCTCGCATTTCCCCTAAGTAATGCAGTAAAGACCAAAAGGTATCAGTTAGTTAAAGAAGATCGGAGCAACCATGCAAGAGCTCCTGTGGCAGCATTTGTTTATGAGCTTGTCAGGGCACATGGCACTATTGTGGCCAGAATAACTACCCGTGGCATGAGCCGGGTTCTCGGAGAACCAGTAGATGAAACCTTACAATAATTGTGCATGAACAAAATTAATCATCTTAATGTACGATATACTATTTTGAAAAAGGAACTCTCCCAAACAGAACAGACAAGGCTTACTTTACTTTATGCTATTTAATCTAGTCTTTGGCTTTTTAAACTCGGTCATTTCATTCTTTGGCACTTCCAGAATATGATTGCACGCCTCTTCAATATTCTCAAAGACCTATAGCTAGTTGAAAGACAGCGAGAAAGAGGCATGGTTCTGTGTCTCGATGAGAAAATTACGCACAGCAATTTGTTTTATATTATTTTGAATTACCTTGCCATGTTCGATCAGGTTCGTCAGCATGACGATCTTTCCTACTCGCTCCTGCCACACCATGCGCCACATGTCCTTCACTGAGGCCTTGGTAGGACCTTGAATTACACGTTAAAACTTTGTTAAAACATTAAAACATTCAAACATTCAAACACGTTAAAACATTCTCTTTGTACTCTCTAAAGGATGTATCAATATTCAATAATGTCTTTAAATTTGAAACGTTGTCACCTTTTAAGTTAATAAGTGACGTGAGACGATCCACTTTGAATTAAATTTAAGAAATTAACCAGAGTTTGATTAGCGTCATTTCTCAAATTATTCTTTCATTTTATATTTTTGATAACGGAAAATGGTTTGATTGCGCCCACTTTACAAATGTTTCAGTCAGTTTGAGGATTTTAATTTACAACTTTAGTTTTTGTTTTCATTTTCACTAAGTGCTTACCTTGACTGGCAATGTACTTGTAATCTTGTTTGTATCCCTACGTGGAAGAAAATATAAAGTATCCTGTTTAAAAGAAAATCAAGATCTTTCTACTTTTTTCGCCAGAGTCAAATAAGGCAGATAAAAATGTGTTAACCCATTTTGAAGATTGCGGCATAAACTTACATTGATGTAGGAGGCATTGATGTAGTCTGAGTGTGGGTTATCCTCAAGACACTCCAAGACCACGCGAGAATGGTCATCTGCCGAGACAAAGTATTGCAGATTTTTAGTCTTTGTAAATCTGTGTTTAACCCCTCCAAGGACAAATGTGTGTGAAAATCATATCAAATTTTTGAATACAAAAATTGAGGTTTCAGGAATTTTAAGGGAAAGAATAACAGGGTATTCTTGTGCAAGCATAATACTAGCGACATACGTAATTATGGCCACCACTTTTACTCCCTTGCTTACTTTTGACACCATTCCTATTACAACTTGCGGGACATTTACTGAATGAAGAGTAGAGGGTATTTCTTGTAGGATGCAATAAGCTGTTGGCGTCAATGTTCAAAATGTGAACGACGTACATTTTTTACCAACAAAACATTACAAAAGTAAGAGGTGATAGAGGATGAACAATTAGACTTACAGGCCAGGATGTTATTGTATCTGTTGTTCTTCTTGTTGTGATCCTGTTTGGCCACAGTCCACGGGTGGATTGGTTCACCTGGAATCGACTGTAAGAGATAGGAGATAATCACAAAATCGCAGTTAGACACATATCTCAAACATAAAGAACATTATGTAGCAAACGTTTTGGTCCATTCCTCTCAGTGTCTTTCACTGGCCATTTTAGGTCAGACCAAAATAACATTAAATCGTGGTAAGAGCAGTCAGAAGACTCACTTCATAGTCTTGTTGGAATCCATTGATCTTCCCGGCTGTTCTACTCTTGATGTATTCAGCCAGGTGAGCCATGGCAACTGGGCCGGCTTGGGGGAAACTCGGGGATGCCTTTGCCGAAGCCTTCAGCTTGGGCTTGGAGGCAGGATTGACGTACGGCTTGGGCTTCACGGGAGCCTTAGTGGATGTGGATGGACCAGATGCTGATGCTGAATCAGTGGATGGTCCTGCTTTTGGCAACACATCAACAGGTACTTGATCGGTTGACTTTGGTGGATTAGTAGATGACACCACTGGTTCATGACCCTTTGTAGCGTATGGCTTGTAACCAGACGTAGATGGCAGATTCTTCAGCTCAACTGAAATAATAAATGCCAGTTTCGTTTTCCGACCAAACATTCTCAAATTTCTGAATTGTCACTTTCAAAAACGTTTTATTAACAGCTGTACAAAATTCATCATAGTTTGAATAGTCTGGCTTGCTTCATCTCAGCAGATGGATTGCAATAAGACCTTTCTTATTAACAGAAGTTTCTTTTTAATTAGTATACGTGTACATGCCCAAGTAATAGACAACCATACCTCCACCTTGGTCTCCTTTCCCATAAATATCCTGGACACCATCGCCAGTGCTGTCCTTGCTCAGTGCTTTGGTCCTCTGCTTTCGTCGTTTCCTTTGATAGAAAATACCAGAAACTCGTTTGATATATTCTTAAAAAGATCAGATTGTATTTCATATTCAGTGCCTTGATTACGGTAACTTACTTGACTACGACAGCTATCAGGAGAGCAAGAACCGCAGCTACCAAGATGAAGACGACCACGCCCAAAACTGAGCCCGCAGGACTACTTCCAGGCGGAGTAGGCGCAGCAGCATCGTCTTAAGAAAGAAAAAATAAAACCATCTCGATTATTACATACACATAGTAATATGATGGGCCTGCGAAATAAGATTGCACCATTTCCAAATGGGTAAAAAGCTTTGTTATGACGCATACAGGCTTCATGAATATAGTTTCTACACATTTGTGTTCTTTCAATAGATTATCAACAAATACAATATCTATGAGATTGACGAAGTTTTACATTTCTTCGATTTACTATTTACTAAATGTATTTACTATTTACTATTTTATTTCTCGGGAATAAATCAACAAATACATGTAAACAAATGACTAAAGTTACAACACACAAAAAAACAAAAGCTTTAGATACATAAACAAACAAACAAAAACAAAATACCATTCAGCTCCCAAAGGATTGCCCAAAAGAAACATTGTTCTCCAAAGAACCCCTAGACAGAAACGATGATTTATATTCGATTTATATTTCAAGAGCATAATTTGTTTATTTAACTTCGAAATACACCTTTGTCGTGATAGTTGAATAAACATTCAAGTTATCAGTGAATTAGGAATAGCAAAGTTATTGATTGCTGTTTAAGAGTATTTTTTATTATACCTTTGGGAATCTCAAAATCTCCTTCCTTCCAGGGTCCCGGTCCTACACGCGTGAACGCCCGCAGCCTGAAGAGGTAGGACGCCCCCTGTGACAGACCATCAACTTCAACAGACTCTGCCGTGGTGTTGGCTGTTTTTACCATGGACCCAGATGCGTCACGCAGCTCGTACGTGTAGCCTGTGATGTTACCGCCTCGTTTGCCGCAGGGAATGGGATGCCAAGACACTCGAACGCTCTGATTGAATGGGAGCATTGTGTCGACTACCGGAGCAGCCAATGGCACTGTAAAGAAATGGATTTCGAAAGTGTTGTGATACTTGCATTGTAATAAAAAGACTATCGTGATCATGTATAGGTGTATATGGCATTGCAATGAAATGGATTTCAATATATTTTTTACGTGTTGTACTATCGAGTTAATTTGTTGCATTACATTGAAAAGGGTCATGAGATCATGCACAGGTACATACGCATAATTAGCTTATAATGTAACTTTGTCTGACAAAAGAAACGTTGCCTACTTGCTATCCATGAATAAGTACCCTGATTTGTACCACAGAAGTCTGTCTTTAGACAGAAAGCTAAGCTGCGCCCGAAGCTCCTGTCCAGATCTATTGTCTAGGCCGGCCATTGGCAATTACAACGACTAAGAAAGGTGCTGACAAGAGTCATAGCTGTAGCTCTGGAGGCCCGATTCAGACATGGCCGTAAGCTGCTCAGGGGTAAACCGCCCTCTTGCGTTTAAGTGCACTTACCTCCCTCGTCGGTCGTAACTGTCTTGCTCTTCCTGTATTTCGCGCCAGCATTATTTGCTGGTACGACTTGCACGTTGTACGTAGAGTAAGCATGCATTGATGTGAATTCGATGTCACTGCCATTTACAACTGTCTTATTTATAACGGCAAGATCGGTCCGTGGTTGGCACTGTTCCAAATTGAGAAGTTGGTAACTAACGCGATACGAGGTCACAGGGCAAGGGTTGTCCTCGTTCCCAGCAGTTGTCCAAGAGGTCCTGATTTCATTGGTTGAAGGATCGAGGTTAAAGGATTGGATTTCATCTGGAAAAGATGAAAAATCAAACTACATCATTAACAAAAAAAATGATCTTCAGTAATATTTATTTTCAATGAGCAATGGTAAAACGCATGCTCCATTTTCCCTTCTTTTTTTTCAAGAGAATCAAAAACTATAACACTTTCGTACACCTGACCCATTCATCGAATGGGGAAAAAAATCATCAAAATAGTTTTACGAGTTACCTATTACGACTGTATCTTGGTGTGTCCAGTTTGCCCACAGACCTGCTCCTATGCGAGTAAATGCTCGAACTCTGATTGAGTAGGTGGTACATGGTGATAAATCACGAAAGGTAACCGACAGCTTGGAGATGTTACTCTTCTCGTTGGTTTTTCCTTTTTCTTGTGGTCTTGGCCCTTTGAATCTGTACTCGTAGTGCGTAATGTTGCCACGTCTACTGCCACAAGGGATGGGATCCCAGGAGAACGTGATGCTGTCATTGGTTGCAGTACCTCGGATTACTGGTGATGCAGATGGTACTGTAAGAGATCAAATTTACCAAATTTGTTTTTTCTTGGGAAATCGAGTTATCTCTAAATTGTACCCTAAATCAAGAAACTGAAGAAAACGTGTCACGGTCTTTTCAATTGGCAAAATTATGTTTGACGTTTCAGTTGATACACAGGCACGGTACAATTTAGGGATAAAAACTATCTTTAAACCCGATGTGATCGACATCCATTTTGTAACTAAAGTTTCAACAACAAAACCCATTAAATCATTAGTATTTAAATACTTTTATAATACCAATCAAACTCCAATATAAAACACCGAACTTACCGTTTTCGTTAGTTACTATATCTTTGAAATTGCCTTCCCCATGTCCAGCTTCATTGATTGGCGCGACGTTTACTCTGTACTTTGAGTAATACGCAGGTAGGTGGAGAGTAGCGTAAGTGGTGTCGACCGTTCCTACATCTGTTATGATTGGTGGGTTCTGCTGCATGCATTGGTCCATCGTGATGAGCTCATATGTTACATTGTAGGATGTCGCAGGGCAGGGTCCTTCGGAGGAAGTCCAATGAACGTCAAATTCGTTTCGTTCACGTGAAGTGGCGAGGACGGATATATCTGATACATAGTCTGGAACTGTAACAAATAGAGGCATCACAAATGAACTTGTCTCCACTTTTAATCAAGGAAATGAACTTTTAAATCACTTTTAAAAAAATCCTTTATTGTGCCTGTATGTTTTGCGGCTATTGACATAAAATGAGTGTGTGAGGTTTTTAAGAAACAAAACATACTTTATATAACTAATGTCTATATTTTAATTATACATATAAATTGGTACATGTTTATCTGTTCATGACTTCCAAAATATGTACTGTCATCATAGGCCTATATGTAAGCCAATTAGTGTCATACACCCACTTAATATTCACCTCTCCTGTTAAAAAAAACTCGGAGATCATGAACGTACCGACAGTGCCCGTCCTTTGTGTTTGAGTAGACTGATTTGGACGTCCTGTGGTGTACCCCACACTGGTGTATGCCCTTACACTTAGAGTGTAATTTGTACAGGGTCTTAATCCTGTGTGTGTCACTGACGTGGTTGAGACGTATCTTGTATCTATCCCAACGGGACCTCCAGTCAAACTTGTCTTGTAGCCAGTAATGTTGCCACCTCTGCTCCCGCAAGGAATGGGGTTCCATGTCCACGTGATGCTATCAGTCGTTGCCGAACTGCTGATGAATCCAGGTGAAACCAGAGGATCTAGTAAATATAATAAATAATTGGAAAACGGGATTAATTGAATGATGTCTAACAATAGATGGATTATGGAAATTCGTGCAATTGGCTAAGATTTTCCGCAGTAGGTTTTACTAATGGGGTTTGTACATCTTTGTTATTTTTATGTTTTTAGATTACCAGTGCTGTCCCCGGAAGGCAGTTATGTGCGATAATAAAAAGAACATTTTACGGTTTGTGCAAAATTTATTACGAAGTTCAGTGTCCATGTAATTTGGACAATGTATGTGCGCACTGTATTTATACATAGATGGAAGAATACTCCTTCAATGAATTAGATATCTTCCCAATTTTTGAAAACGCGCAATTTGTTTTAAAGAATAATTTCCCGTGGTAATATTGCAAAATATTATGTAATATTGCAAAGTATCAAAAGAACAAACAAAAATATGGACAAACAAACTTACAGGTTTCCCCAGTAGTTACTTGAAGGAATGATGTTGTACCCTTGCCGGCTTCGTTTCGCGGGGTGACAGAAATGTTGTAAGTAGAGTAAGCCTTCAGTTCTTTTAGAGTGATGCTGGTGTCATTGGTATACGTAGTATTCAGCGATCCGCCATATTCACGAACCTCTCGACACTGCTCCAGGTTTATGAGGTCAAAGGTCACCAGGTAGTCAGATGCAGGACAGGGGTGTTCTTGGCTGGTTCCCGGTGCTCCCCACGACAGACTTAAGGTGTTGTGACTGGTTCCCTTGTCTGTTAGTCCACCTACGGTATCAGGTACTACACAGCAAGAATATACGATTGTATCGTTAATAATGTGGTAATGTGTGTTTTGCTTACATTGTGTGAAGAAATGGATCCCAAAAAGTTTATCACAGAATACCCTTTTTATGTTCTTCTCAAAACATCGCTCCCGAGAGCCAATTTCAAAGTGTTACCGAGATAACACAAAAAAGTTGATTGATAAAGCAAAAAGGAATAAAGTACAGGAATTGCATTAAATGGTTTGTCCGCGCGGTGAACATACTGACAGGCATAATTAGGCTCTAGTGACCGGGAAATAAGTGTTAAGGGGAATTTCGGGGTGACATTGCATTTTTCAGTACAAATATTATATTAACAATTTCCAACCATGTATCGTATACCTTTCCAAATAGGCGTAACAATCTTATTTAAGCTGAATGGTCCGATGCCTTTGGTAGTTTCAGCAGCTACCTCAAATCCATACAGTGTACTGCACAATGGCAGGTGTACAGATACAGAGTTGCCTTCAGTCCGTACTGCCTCGGCTTCATGCTCACCCTCGACTGTCCCGAACTTGTATGCGTAGTTCACAATGATGTTGCCATTTGGACAATTCACAGGATGCCAATGGAACGTCCTTATCGAATCATTTTGGAATGAACTGAAGGATTGAACGCCACCTGGTGCCAGGGACGTCGTAGCAGGGTCTGAACGGAATAGTTTAAAAACAAAATCATAAAAAGAACAACTGATTTACATCAGAAGGGCATTAAGCAAATAACCTCCGAAGTTCAACAAGCGAAATAATCTAAATCTGCTAAATACATGTTTATATGGTTGTTTATACATCAGCCCTAAAATTTTGAATTCCTGAATATTTCGGCATTTTGCCCTTGGTATGCGCTAAAGTACAGGCCTTTGTTGCTAAATGTTACATCTATTGTAATGTGACGGTTACCTGATATTGTGGCACTGGTATTAACAAAATCTTGGGATCTGGTCAGGCTAGGGAACAAAACACTAATAGCAAAACAAACCCCCCTTCTTATTCTTTTCAGAATCTATAGAAGAAGGAAACAGTCTAGAGGTGTAAGCATCATAACTTGCTAGGGAGCGCGCTGTTAAAAATCGGCTATAATAGAGTAAAATCATTGCATATCCGAACAAACAACTAATTATGTATGCATACAAAAGTAACTTTTCTGATGAAGAAGTCCCTACTATGCCTGATTCAGTAGATTATGTCCGTTAATTAAGCTGAAATTATACAAGTTTCTTTACTTAACTTAGAAGTTTACAAGTTTACAAGGTTCTTTACTTAGACAGGCGCTGATCAATCTGGTCCATTTCTTTTTTTATAAGTGAGAGTACTGTCTTACCCAGGAATTCTGTGCAGGTTGTACCGCACGATGCTATTTCATTATTCGGAAGACAATTTTCTGCAATCAGAAGAAAACAATGCAATACGTGTTAGCAAAAGGAATGTTCCAGTAACTTTGTTCATAAAATCCGATGTAAATTGAGATATCTATGTGTTCTGTCGAAAACCTTTTGATCGAGTTAGTATAGACATTTAAGAAGTATCACATTCACAATCAGTTACTTCTTAATCCAAATGAATCATCCCTTGCCAGCAATAAAGTGAAGTTTGGAAAACTCACCAATGCAGTGGAGCTTTTAAAATAAGGTTGAAAAATTCAATCGAAGTTAGACGTATGTGCGTTGTATTCATCGGTTGGAAACATTTTACATTGACGTTTAATACCTTGGCAGTTCAGCCCTGTGAATCCTGGCGCGCAGTCCCCAAAGCACTCGCCCGTAGTTCTGTCGCACGCGACCCCGTCCATACAGTGACAAAGGCGACAGTCTTGTCCATATCTGTTATCGTCACAAGCTGAAACAAAACGCCCGCATTGACATTCTGATACATGTGTAACATTCAAAGGATCGGACCTCGTGTGGCTACATCATTAATGTTCATTACCTTGGCAGTTGATGCCCGTGAATCCTGGCGCGCAGTCCCCGGGACACTTGCCCGTAGTTCTGTTGCACGCGACCCCGTTCATGCAGTGACATGTCTGTGCACAGTCTGCTCCATAAAAACCAGCAGCACAAGCTACAATACAATTTGATTGTGTTCTACAGTTATGTTTGGGTTCATCAGTAAAACTCTTTTAGAGAGTACTGGTGTCGTTCATCTGTTCAACTATTTTAGCAACAAACTAAACGCTGGCTATTTTTTTGGCTCGATGTCTCCTTACGTGTCATTATCTTTTATTGCTAGTAAATAAATAAAAAAGTATTGCTACAAAAACACAAATTGAAATAGAAAATGTATTTTTCTGTTGAAAGTTTAATATAACACGAACGAAGAGAATATCTTTAAAAAAAAAACATGCGTTAAGAAAACTGGCGTATTCTTTGGACTTACTTTTACCGCAATCGATTCCTTGGTACCCTGCAGCACACGAGCAGCCATAAGGATCTGGTAAACAGAACAGCATCCCTGCACACGTCGGACCGCCCCCTAACTCGCCACAGCGAAAACTTCCTGACTGTCCAAAACGGTTCGGGCCTTCAGCTAAAACAGAGAAAACAGTTCTTACTATCTAAAACCTCTGCGAAGTCTCATGATTTCAAACGTAATTCATCCACGTCCCATGCCAGTTTGCCTGTAAAATTTACCGCTGTGGGCCGTAAAACTAACAATGGACAATCAACATTTGCCGATTTGGGAGGTTTACAAACTTTCCGCACTGGACTTAATTTTCTTAAGGTGACAACAGTCTCAATAAAAATGACATCAGTTTGTTAGTTTTACAAAAAAAAGGTCCTATGCGCACACCGTCTAATTATAAAGATTATTCTAAGACTCACGTATTCCACAGAAATCGCCAATAAATCCAGGCGGGCAAATGCATTCTCCACTCCGATCGTCACACACACCGCCATTGAAACAGACTGGACAATCTGCATTGCACAATGGCGGGTTCCATTTATTCCTTTTGCATCCTACGAAGTAAAAATTTAAAAAGTTAGCATCACAGCATTTATATTGAAATCGTTCATGATCAATGGGATTCCAGCCTTCGGTTCATCTTCGTTTAAAAGTCAGTCACATACTTCGAGAAAACCATTTGAAACTATTCATCAAATGGAAGTTGCGTCCGGGAGAGTGATTTTTAATATTAGGTTTTGCCCATCAAACCATTTAAAGGTGTCACATAGGCTTATCGAATGACAGTAATATTATAATTAACAGTAATATTATAATTAACATGTATACCTCTGACAATCAACCGCATGAGTGCCTGCTTTCCATCGCTACGCTTCCCGGCAAAATGAGCCTCATAGATTCCGGTGTCTGCAACACTGGCATTTACAAAATCAAAGTACAGATCGTCGTTTCTGTCCATGTAGACTGCACCGCCGTCCTTTCTCCAACGGGTTTTTTTGTCTTTTGCAGAGACGGCCAGATAGACAGCATCGCCCAGGTTTACCATCTGACTCACCCGGGTAGGCAGGATGTGAGCTATATGGTACAGATCATATGACATTTTATGGCAGGCGTTGTAGCGTCAGGTTGGCAGGTAGTTTAAAATTGTACGTTCGTCCGAAAATCTCAAACATTTACCGTGTCCATAATTTGAAAGGTCTTTTCCATCTACAGTGTACAATTTGAACAAAAACCGTTTGCAATTTATATGTATTTTTTAGGTCTTGCCTATACATACCTCAAGCAGTCAAAAAGGCATGGAAATTTGAGCGAATTTAAAAAGGACTAATGCATACCTTTGTAAGTTACAATTAAATGAGTTAAATATCAGGTCCGATGCTAGTTTCATAGAGTTGCACAGAATAAAAAAGATTCTATATAGGGCACACGCATTGGTTCTTCTCCTAAATACTATATGCGGGGGCCAGTTTTAACGGGAGGCCAGAAACACCGGGGCAAACCCCTTCTCTTATCGATAATTAGTGTTACTGGGTTCTTTTGCGTGCATTGCATTACACAACACATGGGACCTACGGCTTTACGTCCCATCCGCGCGAAGGACGAAGCAATAAAGGTTAAGTGCCTTAAAAGGGCACAAGCTTCCACCCGGCGGGCTCGAACCCACGCCACGGTTGCCTTTGAAACACCAGAGCCTGAGTCCGGTGCTCTTAACCGCCAGGCCATGACACTCCACGCGTCTGAAGCCACTTTTGAAAACAACCATGGTGTGACTGGAAACACGACTATAACGCTCCAACGCGTCGGCTCGATATTGCAGACAAAAGTTGTACCTGGAACCCGTAAGGTTTTTATATGGTGTGCTGTGTTAACGAACTTTTCACCGATTATCATTTCTTGAGAAATTGTGTTTTATTTCCCAAACAGCCGCATTATGGAGGAAGTTCCCTTTGAGTCCCCTTGACACCTTATATGTTCCTTGCCTAAGCTATAACATTTGTGTCGACGGCTGAAAGGAATGACGACTATGGAAATAAATCCTGAAAGTTTACTGACATTTCAAATTTCCAAATGGTGGGTTGGGGTTGGCTAAATGGGCACCAAAATGAAGATATAATGGCGATGTTCATAAAACTTGTATAAAACTGTGTAGGCTTATTTCATGTCCATTTACACAGTTTCCACCCAATCAAAGAGGTTTGTATTCTAGACCTATATAAACTTCACTTCGATTTCAGAGTGCTTTTGGTGGTATTCCTTTTTTACTTACTTTTTGATATCAATTACAACGAATGATTTTTTGTTTTTGCATACATGGGCGATCCTATGGCCTATCCTCTGCATGTGCGTGACCTGCCATAGCATAATGAGGAATAACCCCCACCTTTGACTTTTCACGTTATGTACATCATGTTGAAGCGCAAATCATTAGCTTTCCAATGGTACCAAATTTATTTCTGTAGCTGAATTTATTTCAAAGATATGACGCAGGAACTTCAACAGTGTCCTGCCAAATTTCGCTAACCTCCTTTCGAGAAAAACGGCATTTTAAAAAAAGACACGCATTTCACCACCAGCGGCAGTGAAAAACGTTCTTCACTTATTCCAGTTATTTGGGTAGTTTTTCCCCAACAAAAATGCATAGTATGAATCTTGGATACCTTGGCTACTCAAAAATACAAAACAATCAATATCGATTTTGACATAATTTTTCTAGAATGTCCGACTTCAGGCGTCGATTACGCAAAACAAGGTTTTGGGGGACATTCCTCATTTTGCCTCAGCAGGTCACATATAAGCACACAGTGATGTTCACAGCTACACAGCAATTTGCAGGGAATTTGAAGTGGGCATATATACTCCATATACCCCGGAATTAGACAATGTCCCTGATGTCCCCCTCCGGCAAATCATTAATTTATCGTTTTAATTTCAATTATTTAGAAAAATCATTAATTTATCGATTTGTTGTCGATTATTAAACAAATACTACCCCTCTGTATCCTTTGCATTATGTATCCATGATGATATAAAAACCTACCTGTTTTGCTCATGATGACGGTACCAATGCTGACGTTACCACTTCCTGCTATCATAGCATTACAGGCAAAGGCTCCAATCCTAGTCTTCCCTCCAGCCGCCGGCAATCGAAGAATAGAGATCTCATCTCCCTCTGATGACGAGGTTGGTTCATAACGGTGGCCTGAAGGTAGCCCTAACTGGTCGTTTATGTTATCGACGCTTGTGTACGTGTAAGTTGTTCGAGCGAAGGACAGCTCAGCATGACCGCTATGTAGATAGGCTGCGATGTAGGTCTTGTCACTGCCGATATCAATACGGGGCTTGGTGACACAGGTGAAATCTTCAAAGGTCAACTTTTCTGAAATTGAACAATATAGAGAGAGAAATTCAAGGTGTAGTTGCATGAAATTAACGCAAACTTTCCCGGACATCATTTATTTTTTCATTAATTACTAGGATAGAGAACATAAAGCAGCACAATCTACACCCACGTGCGTCGTTAGGGGTGGTCTGACATCCCCATTATTCCTTTTTGCCAGCTAAATACGTCCGCATATATGCCGCAGAGAATAGTTTCAGTCTTATCTGCCTCGTTGAATGGCGCCGTCATTGGTTAGTTGGTGTCCAGCATCCCTCCCAATCCCACCACAAACTTGATTTCCTGGCTACCTTCCAGCACGGAGTGGTCTGCACGAATGCACTTTTGTTGTCATCGGTCTACACCAAAATTCGTTTTTATCTGGCGGCGTCCGTGTCGATACCCAATCATGTTATTATGTTGATCTGAAATTATCACTTGACGTCGGTAGTCCCTGCTGCCGTGTCAGCTTTGAAAGATTGAGATGACTGCAGTTATGAAGCATGTGGTGTATACTTTATATACTTTACTGGGTAATTCCTGGTCAATTTACACTTTATCGACTCGAAAGTATTTTGTCAATGGTTACTGTAATTTCATTAGTCTAGAACGCGTCCAGTAAAAATATGATTGTCTCAAGACTAGTTATGAATTAATGTTCATTACCTTGGCAGCTGATGCCCGTGAATCCTGGCGCGCAGTCCCCTCGACACTCGCCCGTAGTTCTGTCGCACGCGACCCCGTCCATGCAGTGACAAAGGCGACAGTCTTGTCCATATGTTTTATTGTCACAGGCTGAGGTAAAAACGCCAAACAATATAACAGTGATTTACTTTAAATGTAATATAACGAGAAAGAAAACAACAGAGAACAAAGAGTATACCTTGGCAGTTGATGCCCGTGAATCCTGGCGCGCAGTCCCCGGGACATTCGCCCGTAGTTCTGTTGCACGCGACCCAGTCCATGCAGTGACAAAAGCGACAGTCTTGTCCATATGTGCCATTGTCACATGCTGAGGTAAAAACAAGTCACGTCTAATGCAGTAAAGCTGGTCACAGAGCACACAAATCATATTCAATTGATTCAGAATGGCTAAAATGTTCGTGGAATCATTGCTTCATTTATAAATAACATACTTGCCTCGTTCACATGCAGACTGGAATTATTTCCAACACATGTATCATGTAAGTACATAAAACTATCGGCGCTAGACTAGCACACTAGATTCAACAAAACATACATAAACAGGAATAGGCCCAAGCAAGTATAACAATGCGAAAGAAAACAAAGACGACAAAATGATAATTACCTTGGCAGTGGATGCCTGTGAATCCTGGCGCACAGTCTCCAGGACACTCGCCCGTAGTTTTGTTGCACGCGACCCCGTTCATGCAGTGACAAAGGCGACAGTCTTGTCCATATCTGTTATCGTCACAAACTGAAACAAAACACCCGTATTGACATTCTGATACACGTGTGTATATTTAAAAGATCAACTGGTGCAAATATATCATTTAATGTTCATTACCTTGGCAATCGTTGCCCATGAATCCTGGCGCGCAGTCTCCAGGACACTTGCCCGTAGTTCTGTTGCACGCGACCCCGTTCATGCAGTGACAAAGGCGACAGTCTTGTCCATATCTGCCATTTTCACAAGCTGGGACAAAAGCAAGACACGGCAAGCCTTCTATATTAATGCTGGTCACATGCAGAGCAAATAAATTATATGCGTGAATCCTGGCGCACAGTCACCGGGACACTTGCCCGTAGTTCTGTCGCACGCGACCCCGTTAATGCAGTGACAAATACGACATTCTTGTCCGTATATGTTATTGTCACAGCCTGTGACAATCACTATTTTTTTGTTTGGCGTATTTACCTCAGCCTGTGACTCGCAGGCTGAGGTAACGCCAAACAATAAAATAGTGATTTACTTTAAATATAATTTAACGAGAAAGAAAACAAAAGAAAACAAAGAGTATTACCTTGGCAGTTCAGCCCTTTGAATCCTGGCGCGCATTCCCCGGGACACTTGCCCGTAGTTCTGTTGCACGAGACCCAGTCCATGCAGTGACAAAGGCGACAGTCTTGTCCATATCTGCCATTGTCACAAGCTGGGACAAAAGCAAGACACGGCAAGCCTTCTATAGTAAAGCTGGTCACAGAGCACCCAACTTATATCCAATCGATTCAGAATGGCTGAAAATGTTCATTTATTGGTAGCATGATGAAAACAAATAACATACTTTCCCCGTTCAGATCACATGATGACTTGCATTATTTCCAACACATGTATCAGGTTAGTACATTAAACTATCGGCGCCAGACTAATTGTACACTAGATTCAACAACATACATTTACACGAATAGGCCCATCAGGTAAGCCTCGCAAAGCTTCTCTCAGATCAGTGTAGGGCTATGTCTTGTGTGACAGTCAGTTAATTGTGGGGAATTAATGCGAAAGAAAACAAAGACGACGATATAATATTAGTAATTACCTTGACAGTTGGCCCCTGTGAATCCCGGCGCGCAGTCCCCAAAACACTTGCCCGTAGTTCTGTCGCAAGTGACCCCGTCCATGCAGTGACAGAGGCGACAGTCTTGTCCATATCTGTTAGTGTCACAGGCTGAAACAAAACACCCGTATTGACGTTCTGATACACGCGTTACAATCTGACCTAGTGTGAATACATCATAAATGCTCATTATGAACAAAAAAACAGATTGGTTAAACCAATCATTGATTGAAATAACTAACAATTGGTTAAATTGGTTGGACACATATTAGATAATTGTCGGTCATTTCAACCAATGATTAGTTATGTTAAAGAGGATGTGGAATGCTCGAAGACATTTCTGTCGTTTTTCGGGTATATGTAGCCTAAGGTGTGATGAAATAAAAACGACTATTGTTTCTGTCATGAAATGAGTACAAAAGGTACTTTTGAGAGCTGTTTTTCAGGTCCAGTTTCGACCCGAACGTGCAACTGTGAAAAAGTCGTCGTTGCGGGCAGCAAACAAAACACAGTAAATCGTGACGTAATAAACAGGACTCGTGTATGCTACTGTGCATCGGGAGTCCTGTTTATTACGTCACGATTTACTGTGTTTTGTTTGCTGCCCGCAACGACGACTTTTTCACAGTTGCACGTTCGGGTCGAAACTGGACCTGAAAAACAGCTCTCAAAGTACCTTTTGTACTCATTTCATGACAGAAACAATAGTCGTTTTTATTTCATCACACCTTAGGCTACATATACCCGAAAAATGACGGAAATGTCTTCGAGCATTCCACAACCTCTTTAACCAATGTTGTGTTTAGAGCGTACCTTGGCAGTTGATGCCCGTGAATCCTGGCGCGCAGTCCCCAGAACACTCGCCCGTAGTTCTGTCGCAAGTGACCCCGTCCATGCAGTGACAAAGCAGACATTCTTGTCCATATGTGTTAGTGTCACAGGCTGAAATAAAACACCCGTCGTGAAGTTTTAATGCAAAGTTAAAGTGACGGCCTACATGTTAAAGGTTTAATTGATACGGAGCTAATCTTGTATTACGAAGAACTCATCGAGACTCATTACCTTGACAGTTGATTTCTGTGAATCCTGGCGCGCAGTCCCCAGAACACTCGCCCGTAGTTCTGTCGCAAGTGACCCCTTCCATGCAGTGACAGAGGCGACAGTCTTGTCCATATGTGTTAGTGTCACAGGCTGAAACAAAACACCCGTCGTGAAGTTTTGATGCAAAGTTAAAGTGACGGCCTACATGTTAAAGTTTTAATTAATACGGAGCTAATCTTGTATTATGAAGAACTCATCGAGACTCATTACCTTGACAGTTGATTCCTGTGTATCCTGGCGCGCAGTTTCCACGACACTCGCCAGTTGTTGCGTTGCACGAAACCCCGTCAGCACAATGACACCTCTGTTCACAGTTTGCTCCATAAAAACCTTCAGCACATGCTACAACACAAGATTGTGACAAGAAACACTGGTAAAATCTCCAAGAAAATTCCACGCCTGTGAGAAGTTGCCAAGAAATATCAAATGAACAATAAATGGAAAAATTAGACCTATGCCCATTTTGAGACGATGTATGGAATGCAAAGTTGGAACTTCCCAATCTCGTCCCCAGGGTGTCGAACAGTACGGTATTGGATCATTTGCATGTGCAAGATTATTGAACACGTATGCAAATGAGGAACAGTCTGGTGCCTGGTTATGCGTTACATTAGCGTTTGTTTTTGTATGCGGTGTCTGGGGTAAAAAAAAAAAAACAGAGTCAATTCGTCGCAGCGTGAGCACGGCGTAAGTTACGAAAACACGATTTTTTGAAATAAACAGTTACGATATTATATCGAGACAACATGCAGTATCACATTTCATATTGATATGAGCAATTTGGAAAGGAAATAAATATTTTCGAGAAGGCGTGGACGAATGATCGCGAAAACACGTACTGCACGTTGTGAATAATAGCACCAAGTACACGATAAAAATCCATAACTAGCAAATTGCGGTAACAAATCAGGATTCAGGAAGAAAGTTTCCTATCCAGGGCTTACTATTGGAAACTAGTAAATAAAGTGAGCACTGGGGACGAAGTTGGGAACTTCCGACTTACTTTCATCGCAATCGATTCCTTGGTACCCTGCAGCGCACGAGCAGCCATAAGGATCTGGTAAACAGAACAGCATCCCTGCACACGTAGGACCGCCTCCTAACTCAGCTGAGTCGCAGCCAAAACTTCCCGATTGACCAAAACGGTTAGGGCCTTCAGCTGTGAAATACAAAGAAAACGTTTTGTTTATCAAAATAAGAAAGAGGCCCATAACAATTTCCCATAATATGACGGCCTTCACTGCTCGGTTGTTTAAAGCTCATATTACCCCCCCCCCCCCCCCAGGCCCCGCCGAAAAAAATCAAACGATTTCCTTGGTTGATTTCAAGTCTGATTGGCAAATTGAAAGTATTTATCAACTTTGATTTATTGATGACCGCAGAGTACTTCGGGAATAACAATGTGTAGGAACTGGTCATGGTTTAAACTTAAAGCCATCGTCATGACGGGCTGCCAACCAATGGGGGTATTCAACTGTATATAGTTCCATACACTGATGATTTTTTTATTTCAGGTTTTTCATTACAAACAAGAAAACTGTTAATTCTAAGACTATCACGGCTATTAATACGACTCACGAGTTTCGCAGATATCGCCACTAAATCCAGGCGGGCAAATGCAGTCTCCACTCCGGTCGTCACAAATACCGCCATTGAAACAGAGTGGGCATGCACTTTCACAGGTGGTCAAATTCCATTTATTCTCTTTGCATCCTATGAAACAAATCAAAACAGAAAACCAGATTGACTTCAGTGATATTTGCTTTCGCTGCAAAGTTAAATGATTTGTACTTTTCAGATGATTCATGGGATTAAGGCCTTCGATGTCCGGTTAAAAGAGATTAACCTATTTCTGTAACTATTGTTAAAAGTGTAGATTATTTTCACGAATCTACATTTTACTGTAGATTATTTTGAGAATCTACACCTAACTGTAGATTGTTTTAAGAATCCACAGTTTTTGTTGGGAACAATTCCATGTATATTCCGGCAGTGTATAATTCCATGTATAATTCCGGCACTAAAGATTTTTTTTTTTAAGTTTCAGTCCATTATAATTAAAAGAAAAAGAAATGTTAATGGTACTCAAAAATGTACGAATTTTGTTGTTTTTTTTCTGAAAGAATTTGACGTGTACCTGATTTTAATAAATACCTTACTACTTTAGTTTTTTAAATGTTTACACAAAATGTTCTCGTTTGATTTTTAATTTGCCGTGCTGATATTTTTAATATGATATACGGTGGCGATTATAAATTTTAACCTAAAGCGCAGTGGAAAATATTCCTCTTTATGTTATTTGCAGTTACCTTTATTTTTTATTTTAAGTCTTATTTTTTATTTTTATATTATTATCTATATGTTAAAGCTAAAAATTCAATTTTTATTTTTTGTCTTTAAATTTGCATTATAAAAAAGTCAGTGGATACCCCTCGGTTAAAGAATATGTACACATCTTTCATTATCAAAATGACAATCATAAATAAAATGGACGAATAACTAACAAAATCAAACTGAAACTTACACAATCATATACGTCTCAGAATATATTCCAATGTAGGCCTATATTTTCCAAGCAATAGTTTTTCCTGTGGTGAGTGAGATGGGCATATTCCGTTATGTAGCCTACTCATCATCAAGTTAAAGAAATGTGGGTAATCCTTACTTTTAGGACACCTCTATTTTTTACAAGTTCTGTTCAAAACTGACTTTTGCGGATAACTGTCCAGTACCAAAGTGACTTTTGCAGGCTAAAGCAGTCTTTTTTCTTCATATAAACTCATGATAGTTGTAGTTTTGAAAGCACTTTCGAAGAAAATGTGACTTTCCTACCTTTTTTCGCAGTCAGACGTGCATGTTGTAGTTCTCACACGCGTGAGAGCCCTACATAATGAAAGCCCGATGCTGATTGGCTGCTAAAAAAATAAATTAGTCTGGTTCCCAGACCAAAAGATTCTGACTACTCTTGAATCCAGACTAAAAATAAATAAATTAGTCTGGTTCTCAGACCAAAAGATTCTGACTATTCCTGAATCTTTTGGTCTGGGAACCAGACTAAAAATAAATAAGAATTTTTTTTTAACAGCCAATCAGCATCGAGCTTTCATCGCATCGAGCTTTCACGTTTGCCATCTTGGTTTTTGAGTCTGTTTTCTGGTTGTCATCGTCGTCTTTTACCCCTGAATTTCCCTCATAAATCAAAGCCCTGCCCTCTTTCCACAAAATTAAACCTGCTGATATATTCAAGAAGGTGTCATTGACAATTGTTCAGATGTGCCAAGAAGTATCAGAATGTCAATTTTGAGTGTCATTTAATAGTCAACTGTTTGGGTGAATCTTTCCCTTCCTATATAGGAACGGGGTCCTAAAAGTAAGGATTACCGAAATGTGGTTCTCGATTGAATGGCCAATGACATGTGGTTCCACAAATCAAAAAGCTCTTTTGAGTTGCTTGCCAACTTTTTCTTGTGGTTGGTGTTTAAACTCCTCAGATCAATCCCGTAAAATAAACAGCATCAAAGTATTTTCCGTTATAATCCCGTAGCTGTAACATAGAAGCGCTAACTCCATTTGGCTTTGGGAGTAAGGAAAGACAGTGTGTTCGCACTAAACACTTCTGATCTTGAATGTGCGTGTGACCATAGAGCAAGGACCCAAGGAGTCAGAACTCTTGGGCGATTTACATTTTGATCATTAACATACCAATCCCTCGGGAATGTCTATAGCTACAGCACTGTGACCGCAAGCCTCGACCATTCAAAGCGTGAATGCCAGCGGCCTTTGAACACGATGATCGTCGCCGCCATTTTAGTTGGTAACCATCAACCTCCCTATATGCTGCATAATAAGTCATGTCACGTCGCTGCTCTTTTTTGAAAAATATATTTTACGACAAGATAGGTTTTTACAACTGCGCAGTTGTTAGGTGTGAGTTATGAACTCAAGTTAGCAATGTGCAGTTGTTGGTGCTTAAAAACGTTATCTGTCCCTGTAATTTGGAGATAAATAGGATTTCTTTTAGATAAGTTTTCATGTATTTTCAGACATTTTAATTAGCAATGTATCATTGATGAAATGTGTTTTTTTTTTAATATTTCACAAGTTTTCACACTAAAGGTACAGAGCATTTTGTTCTTCATGAAATGATTGTTCCAGTGATGTTGACCACATTTATATACAGTATCATCCAACTGCGAACAAACACTTTAAATCATTCATTTTTAGCGATGTATGACAACTGCGCATGCGTATTTACCATGGTACTGTCTACGAAGCCATGCAAACTCCTTTTTTGGCATTAGTGAGCGCGGATCTCTATTGTGTCGAGATTAGCGCAGTGAGCAACTGAGCAAGCTGGCGCCAGGTGCTTTCTATTGTAGCTTTCGAGCGCGGCGACCATCATTTTACTTTTGAAGTCTTGGAGTACGAACTCCTTGGGTCCTTGCTCTATGGTGTGACTTGCCATGAGGACAAATGAACTGTGCAATTGATGAATGGAACAAAAGATGTGCACCCATCCATCCGATAACATCCATCCATCCGATAACATCCATCGTACTCCCCTCCTTTTTTAGTTTGGAAGTACGGATGGATGGTTAACAAAACTTCCGATTTTACCCTCAAAAACGGCGACTGAGAAATAGTAGTTACGCCGCCAGAAATACAAATAAAGTTCAAGGATTAGTTGAAGGCGGTGGTATCAAATGTTGCTCACAATCTGGATGAAATGGGAAAATGTACCGTTCATCGGCAAGGGCTTCATCGCGAACGGACGGGTACCGCGCGAAGAACATTTTCAAAACGGCATCAGTGTGGTACTCGCGAGTCGACGGAGCCCTCGCTGATGAACGGTAAATTTCACTTTTCATCCAGATCATCAGATGTGTTATTTTAAAATTTGTGTAGTATTTTCTCTTAGTAATGATGTTTTTCTTTCTTTTTTCAGAGACCCTGGATCACTGAGATTGCGGAGTGACTGTGCGAACTGCCACGTCTTTTTTTTGTTCGGTCGAACGTGTTTTAAGGGCATGGTTTTCATTTTTACGAATTTAATAGAAAGCTGCTATTAAAAAATGAATTTTGTAATGTAAAAGTAATATTTTTCAACGTTCACTCACTCCATTTTTGGCATCATTTATTGAATAATAACTGCACATGGCACAAATCTCTTTGGGAAGATTGGGGGCCCTGAAAGTAGCCCTGAACGATGTCACCGTGCACGGTACGACCACGTTGGCCGATGAGTGCGCGCACAGGCCCGGCAAAAACGATGTCACTGTGCACGGTACGACCACGTTGACCGGCGAGTGCGCGCACAGACTTGGCACAAACGATGTCACCGTGCGCTGCACGGACAACCGGCCTATCCCTCCGATCTTCCGTTCGTTTCACTGATTTTCTCTTTACGAAACTATGCAACTATTTTGAGCTGCGGGTACGAGTTGACTCGGGTACGAGTCAACTAGGGTACGACTTGACTCGGGTACGAGTTGACTCGGGTACGACTTGACTCGGGTACGACCTAACTCGGGTACGACTTGACTTGGGTGTCAATTTTGGGGTACGAGTTGACTCGGGTACGAGTTAACTCGGGTACGAGTTGACCCATTTCCGCACAGGGCCAGGCAAAGTTGACTAGATTGTACGAATCTACACTTATTCACAAAATAATGTGGTAAACCAGGGATCTTATTTGCATAAACTATTGTTGTTTTAAGAAATAGGTTAAGTCAGAGAATAGACTCGGAACTGTAGATTTGTGCTAAGAATGGACTCGGTTTCGCCTCGTCCATTCGTGCACGAATCTACAGTTCCTCGTCCATTCTCTATAACGTCACGTACTTTGAGAAAATTATTTGATATTGTTATAATGCTTTACAAACTTCTGAGAAAACAGCATGTACCTCTGACAATCAACCGCATGAGTGCCTGCTCTCCTTTTTTACGTTCCCCGGCAAAATGAGCCTCATAGATCCAGCTGTCGGAAACAGTGTTGATAAAATCAAAGTGCAGTTTGCCGTTTCTTTTGTTGATGATACCCTTGCCATCCTTTCTCCAGCGGGTTTCGTTACGGGCTTGGTCTGTTGCAGTGACAGTCAGATTAACTAAATCCCCGAGGTTTACCGTCTGACTCACTCGGGTAGGAAGAAAGTCAGCTGTAATGTACAACAACACGACGTTTTATGGCAGGCGTGTAGCATATCAGCGTTTAAGAGTGCACTTCGTCCGGGGATACCCAACTTTGTTTGTATTCTAGGGTTTCGGTCGCAGAAAGACCATGGAATGTCGCAGGGGAAAAATTGTTGAAAAAACCCGTTTGGCAAGAGCTGGTCCCTCTTTTTTTCCTTGCTTACGCGTATTTCAACCTATGAAAAAAACCCAATATTTGTTGTTGTTGGGTTTTTTTTTTGGGGGGGGGGCCAAAGTGACTTTCTGCATAAGGAAGTGGTGCCACATAAATAAAAATTCTCACTCCATGTCGTATCAATTCACTATGTGATAAGTCCCACAAAGGGCAATCCCAGTGCACACGTATATGAAGCAATTTTTTTTAAACGAAACGGTGTGACTGCATGGCGCATATTGTACTCATTCATTAATAATGAATTAAATAAATTCATTTGCGAGATAACTACCAATAAGTTTTCAAAGTTTTTAACGATCTTTCAAGTGTCGTCAGAAACTCATTTAGAACCCAAATTTAAGGGAACACTTCGGAAACAAAGTGTCCCAAGCGACAGTCCACATCAACACCATATATAGTCTCCTTGCCGTCACATTAATTTGTGACAACGGCTGGAAAGGATGAAAATCATACAATCATGAAATTTACCAACATTCCGAAAAGCATGGGTTTGGATTGGGTTTGGGGATGGGCCCTGTGATGTCCCATGTGCTGCAACAACTTGGTTTAGACACAATAAAGACGAACAATTGCTGTTTGTTTTCATGCATGCCATATTGGATCAACAATGTCGTGCAGTTGGTGCTGCTAATAACGCCTCGTGTATACCAACATCTCAAGTCACTGACATTGAAGAATTTTAACTCGTATTACAGACGCATTAATGTCTATATATTATGCGGCACAATATTATAGAACATGTACGTTTGCACGGTAATCTAAGAGGTTTGTATCTCCGTAAATTTAAAATTTAAAATTGAGTGCTTTTGGTGGTTCGTGTATTCCTGCATTTTATATACCTTTTTGGTATCTATCACAATGAATGTATTTTTGTTGGCACAAACATCTCATGTTTCTGGTGTGCCGCTCTATCAGCTGGTTATTATTAATTAATTGTTATTGTCGCTTATAATAACTCGTATATATCTATGGGGGATGATCCATTGGATCAATCCCCACTGGTCAAAATGTGGGGGTATAATATTCATCCTCTTTCTCGGGATTAAGCTAATGCCTGGTCCTAAGTTCAACCTACCGGTTTTGCTCATGATGACCGTACCAATGCTGATGTCATCCCCTCCCATCATCCTGGCTCTACAGGCAAAGGCTCCAATCCTAGTCTTCCCTCCAGCCGCTGGCAATCGAAGACTAGAGATCTTACCTCCCGTAGATGACGAATACGTTTTCAAAAAGTGGTCTGAAGGTAGCCCTAATGGTTTGTTTTCATCGACGCTTGTGTACGTGTTTATTGTTCGAGCGAAGGACAGCGCAGCATTACCGCCATGTAGATAGGCAGCGATGTAGGTGTCTTCACTGCCGATATCAATACGAGGCTTGGTGATACAGGTGAAATCAACGATGGCTGAAACATCTGAGAAGCAATAGTTTTGTGCATTATAAATTGTTCACTTTTAAATCAAACTCTTCGGACGCATGCAGCGTTCACAACCAAAATTCGTCTGGTAATCTGATTTCAATACTTTATTAGCGGGGGTGATAATGGGGATGAAAATAAAAAAAATGGCAATATGATTGCACCCACTTCAGAGGTGATGCATTGGGTCATTTGAGGGATATTTTGTATAGGAAGTGGGTATCTAGCGTGAAAAAAACCCATCCCACCCAAAAAACTAAATCTGCACTGCACGCACAGTGGACAGTGAGTATTATTGCGAAATTAATGACTTTGTTGCCCATTTTAATCGCTTTGACATAGTCTATATTGAACACACCACTGAAGTCAATAAGACTTTCATAGATGAGCACATAACTGACAATTTAATATATTAAGAACATTGTTAATGCACTAATATCACTAAATATCACAGACAGTCGGGGCATAGATATACATGTAAATGAGTAAAGTCTATTGTATAAAACTGACATAGGCCTAGGGGTCTTTCCACACAAACGGTAACTAAAGTGTCACATTTAGAGGGAACCATAGACAGAAGTCGATACATGAAGTAATCTGTCATGTTTTTTCCTCTTTGTACATCCTATGTCCAAGTAAGAACATTGTCCACTTTGGTAGCAAGTTTGATAAATTTCTCAGGATTCCAGAAAGTACAGAGGATTATCTTCAAGATTTAACGTTCCTAACATGGACAGACATTCCTTTTTAAGTGTTGGGAAGCAGTAAATGAAATGCATGAATCATCCTAAATTTGTTCCTAAAGTAAATCTATCCGTTGAGGGATTGCCACTGGCCAATCTTACATTAAACCTGTAGGTATTTTTAAACTACAGCGATGTACACATCTTCAAGACTTCATACATTTTCATAACAGGGACAGAAATTTGTCACAAATCGTCACCGACACCACGAAGTAACACTTTACCGTGTTAAACCATATTTTTCGATTTTCAGATTTTTTGATTTTTGAACATTATTCATCAAGGCCTACCATTGCACGAAGTTTCAAAGCTTCAAGAGCTTTACTTTAATAATTACGCTAAGTATCCATGGCAACTTTTGCGCAAAAGTGACAATTTTCGTTTTCACGAAGTAACACTCAAGTTCCATTTACCATTGCAATGCATGGCGCGCACTCTGCTCATAAGTGAGCATGCAAAAACATTTTCACGAAGTAACACTCTTCTTGTAATAAGTTGTATGAGCGCGCGCGCGCTGACCTGAAGTTGCACTTTCCTCGTGTTGAATACATTGAAGAGTGTTACTTCGTGAAAACGAAAATTTACAGTTTCGCAGCCTTTTCGGTTTCACGAACTAACACTCATCTTTTTTCTCTTATTTCTTGTTTATTTAATACACAAACGGGTGAAAAACAGCAGATTTAATAAAGAAGGCAGATTTAAACTTTAGAAGGCGTTCAACTTTAGTTGCTGTTTTCTCCGATTGCTAGTTTTTACTGGTATGTAGATGGGTGTTACTTCGTGGTGTCGGTGACGAAATGTGTGTCCTTGTTATGAACGTGTATCAAGTTGCATCTCAATTTCATACATGCTTTAGTGTTTAACGATACCAATTTTACATTGAATAAGTAATATAAATGGAACAAGAGCTGGATTAATCATAAGAATGAAAGTAGTATGATTCAAGAATGTCCATCCATGTCCGTCTTTTCATCTTTAATAAAGATGGCATAGTAATTTCATACATATCCATTGAATCAGCCTATACTTACTTCTCAGTGCAATCACAAATAATACAGGAATGTCTATAAATTGTAACTTTACAAAAAGTCATGCCATTGTGCCATCGGCTGTATGGGCGCCTTCGTAAGAATTGTATGCATGTATCGCCCTGAAAAGCACCATACATCCGTTATACTAGTGCGCATTATTTTCGGTTAGAACAGCACCCCCATCGACAGATGGTACCAGCCCCCCCCCCCCCCCCCCCCCCCCCATTTGATTTTACGGAGGCCAAGTGTACTGAGAAAAAAAATGTGTCTGTATATACATTTCAGCCTGGATGTGCAAGTGCCCCCTTTTCAAGACATTGTTATCCCCCCCCCCCCCAATATACATGTAAATGCCCTTGCTATACTCCTGTTGCCTCTTTCAGGGGTTAAACTTTCAAGGCAGCGCCTCAAGCTAAGCATCTATCCGAGTTCTTTCCATATGCTATTGTGCCTGAATGTTTCCAATTTGAAATAGTAAGTCTTTACTACAACAGGACTAGTCAGGTTATAATCCGCAGAATAGCCAGAAAAGGCCATTTTGGGGTTAATTTTGAATGTCAAGGGGTGGGGGGTTATTTAAGAGATACAGCGTTACTTTTGGTGTCAAAAGTCTCGTACTGATGGTGTTTACCATTTCCCAGATGGGTGTCTTCAAATTTTGACATTGGATTTTACCACTCCCTGCTAACTTTATGCTGGCATTTTGAAGATAAATAAATGCTGTTTGCCTGAGCACGTAGTTGCTGTTCAGGGTCTATACCAACACCAGTAAAAATTAACAGCGATTCTGCTCTATCCACATGTAGTACCGCAACATTTCTTCCAAAAAAATGTTAAAATTCGATGGCTAAAAGGTCGATTAATACGGAAAGGGCTTTTAAAAATTACATCCATGTCGATCTTATACATGCAGCTTTTTGTTTTATAATTTTATAAACTTTTTATCGAGTCATAGATTCAATGGGAAACAAAATTCAAACGGAAACTATAGGGCCCTACCTGTAAACGGTCCCAGCAGAAGAAACAAAAAGATGAAATAGAGACGGTCCTCCATGACGACCAAGCTGCTCCAACGATCAAATAACTGATTCTCTAGTGACATACAGTTAATTAAACGAGTTTGTAAACGAATGAGGAACTTGGGATTAAAATAATAAAGGAAGTGATGGAGATCGTTTCTGCATTTCCCCCAACGTATTGGCAATGAAATCATAATGATCTGCAGAATGAATGCTGATTTGTTGATTCTTGAAATGTTGGCTATTTCCTGCCAGACCCATTATTATATCCGGAATATGACGAGATCCTTATTTTCTTCGTCGACCACAATAGCTGTCATTATTCCTCTTTGTACTAGAGGAAGGAATAAACTTATAAAATAGGCCTACATGTTTGTTCCATCAGTTACCACAAGATGAATTCCTTTTTTTTCCAAAGAATCTTTTACCACATATTTGATTTTACGCTGATAAAACTTTGATTTGCAAGTACCATCAGTGTTTTCCTTTACTCTTCATTGCTTCCTATTGTCCGAGTGGATCAATGCAACGGCGCAGTATTGTGTCAAATGTGTTTAATGTTCGAATTTGAAGGATAAATACAAATCTTCAAAAATACTTTTGAGATCAGTAAATCTTATACTTCTGAGTTGAAAGAACGTCAGTGAATCAGTCAAACAAGAGAGAAATTTCATTTCAATGAAAATACTGCATCAACGAACAGTGTGTTAAGTTGTTCGTTTAAATTTAATGGGAAAAAGCGCATTATCGATTCATACAGGCTGCCTGGTGCTGATCAGAAAAATGTAGCTCAGACCGGACATTATAGACAGGGAAGGAAATAATTTTTAAATTGCTCCATTTTGATCGGAGATAGATAACACATTTATGTTGGGTTTTGTTTTCTGGTGCCATCAGGCCTCGCTCATGAATAAAACATAATTTTGAACTATTTACCCTAAGGCCAAAAAAAAAGTCTCCGGTTTCTGGTATGGAGCTTGCCCAAAAAGTGGTGCGGCGACTTTTTTTTTTTTACCTGATTTGTTTTGCCTCAAATGTCGGCTGATGACTGCAAATGGTGCCCGACTAAACTTTAGTGCAAATATATGGAAGTCCAGAGAGGCCACATAAAGCTTATTCTGGATCATAACCCCATCCAAAAACACGTTAAAATTGTGCAGCAGCATGATTGCAGTCAAACCAGTGAGTTTGGCAGTTTTGAGACATCATCCTTCATTGAAAAAAACCCCTTTTTCATTTTGCCGACGCGCATGGATACGACGACGCGCGCTCGTACCAAAAACCGGAGACTTTTTTTGGCCTAAGCGCAAGGGATGAACTACATAATTCTCGCCGTCATTCATTAAATGCATATAAACAGTCTTATATTTATGTATTATAACCTTTTTTATTTGGTTGTTCGTTTTTATCTAGCATAATCGGTGGTTGATAAGCCATGATAGCTGTGTTATCTCTCTAGTCTCAGATTTGAATTAGAAAAGTGGAGTGAGGACATTTTAGTTTGAGAAGTCTTTGGGGAAGTCCTGCAGGCTGCAGATTGTTTCTGCGGGCAAAGGCGAATCCAGGGGGAGGGCCAAAGGGGGCCATGGCCCCCCCCAAAAACGAAATCATTTTTTTTTTATGTGACATCGCAATAAAGGCAGGCAATGAGCACACCACTATCTTTTCCTCAAAAAAACATTGGTTAAAGTGGTCAGAAATTGCCTCGGATCGCACCACAAAGCATCTAGAATCCAAAAAATTTCGGGGCCCTAATTTTCGGGGCTCCGAACCCCACGCCGTATTTTTTTTGACCCACTTTTTGGGGGGGCCAAATTTTTTTTGGCCCCCCCCCCAAAAAAAAATGTGTTCTGGATCCGCCCTTGTCTGCGGGGGAGGGGGGGGGGACCATAGATAAATAACCTTCCTCCATGGTCAGACATAATGTGACCTTTATATTGTGACAAAAATCAGCATTTCCTTTAAATAATCTTTCCGTACTAGAGAATAGTCTGGTTTCCTTAACATGAATCTCGGACTACAGAATGGAGATGAAACTTGTTGATTTTAGGCCATTTTCAGCCCTCAAATCCAACTTTATTCACCTACTAGACTTACCAAATATTCGTAGTATTTATAGAATAATTCCACAATGATGTGAAGAAGCCATTAACTTTGCTTTACACTGTTGTTTCTTCCAGGTACTTATGCAAGTTTTATAACGTTCAAGGCACTTGACGTATGTGCACAGTGTTATTGAATGCACCCATTGTTTGTGTGTTATTGACTTTTGTACACAGGTTAATGATGTACTTAACTAATGCAGAGATTTCATCATCAGGGTTGGTGCCTCGTTTTGCATACGCGATACGCGCTACGCGCACTTTTAGCCTATTGGAACGCGCGCGCTCACCGCGACCCAGATTCAGCCCTGCCAAAAGTGCATAAAGGGCGAGCTGGAACAGCAATCGAGCGCTCTGTTCGCCTCCAGAACAAACCCTGTGGGAAGAACCAAACGGATGTCAGGATTCGGAAGAAGAAGAGGAATGGGAAGAAGGAACAAGCAAGAAGATGAAGAAACAAGCAAGAGGAATGGAAGAAGTGGTCAGAGGAAGAAGATAAGAAGAGACGAAGCACGAAGAAGAATAATACCGATGTCCACAGGGAAAAGGAAGGCACGGCCAACGACAGCCCATGCATTATGCGCCGTGTACATGTACATCATGTATGCAACGCAATGTGCGCTCCTTAATTAGACTTGCTATCAGTCCAATTTGCGCACTGTGTTTAAGCGGCAGCACTTAAAATTTGCGTATGCAAACTAAAGTGACCCAATCTGATGAAGTGTTTAATTCTTATTATTTGATGGTGATTGATTAAAACAAACAAGAAGTTTGATTGTGAATTATAGCCACTTGTCTCTGCTGCCTGACTGATTTATGTAAGTTATTGTCTTTTTTAAGTAATCTGCCTCAGAATAAAGGTTTAGGGCAAGACTTTAGGTCAGACTCTTAGGCAAGACTTTAGGGTCAGACTTTATAGGGAAAGACTTAAGAGCCAGACTTTAGGCCTATAGGACAGACTCAAATTATATTGCCTCCTCCACCCCAGCCTTCCCTTTTCTATTGCGTTTGTGCGCCAAGTTATAGTCCAACCCCTCCCCTTACCCTTCCCCTATCCATAAAGTCATCGAGGCCTTGAAGAAAGCTACGCTACCAGACGAACTCCACTTGGGTCAGGTTGGCGTCCTGAGGTTGTGACGGCGCCCTCAACGCTGGTCCCGGTCAAGCACTAGCTCAGCCATTCATCACCGATTTCTCCTGGTTATTAATCCCGGCGGGTTTTTAGGGATTCGTTGTACCCCTGGGTATATCGAGCCCCGGATTCCCGTTACAATATCATCTGAAGACACTTGTGACGGAGACAAATGACATCGCAGATAATCGGCGACCGTCTGTGACTCTATGCATATTGCAAATTCTCGGGAACATCAACTGCGGTCACCACGTCCTGCACGATGACTAATAGACTTTCCAGGGTTAGCACCTAACGTAGTCTGTTGGCTGAGATGAAGCTTCTCGGTCTGGCAAGACTCCAAAAGGGCGACAAAGATGAAATTGTACTGATCCTATAATAATCCAAAAGTTGACAGAAAGCTTAAGGACAAATAAATTCTATATAATTCGGTAAGGACACTGAAATTGAAAATATTGGGAACATCTCGATCAACTCAAATATTTGATTCTTTGGGAATTGGGAAGTAAAAAAAAATAGTGTCATAATGTACAACACAAGGAAGTAAGCATTTTAATAACAAGAAACCCCCTCAAAAATATAAATTAAATAACATGAAGAAACAAGGGAGATGATCGCGAGAGTGGACGAGGATGTTCAAATGTTTGCAAATGATTTCGATTTTCTACACAGAAAAATGCCCGCTAATGTGCATATAGCTGGACGCTAACAAAATGTATCAATAAGGGAATAACTGGGTGAGGAGCCGGTCTTCACTGCATGATAATGACCGCGGGTTTGGGGGTGACCGCTGTTAATGGACCTCGACTTCGTCTCGGTCCATTAACAGCGGTCACCCCCAAACCCGGTCATTATCACGCAGTGAAGACCGGATCCTCACACTGTTATTCCCATTAATAAATACCTTTTTAACGAAATAAACAGTTAAAATGCTCTAATTTTGTGACTTTCTTTCGGCGATATTTCCAGACTTTTTTGTGTTCATGTTCTTTGGCCATAGTTTAACTTATGCGTGGTACCCCGTCTCTTCAATAAGCGTTGTTATATACACCACAGCCGGGCCCAGACTGCGCTGGACAACGTCTTCATTGCGTACGCGTACGACGTCCAGGGCTTGGACTTCTGCTGCCGTAGCGAAACAAATTACAACAATGTTTTCATATTTTTACCTGATGGAGGAAGCTGAAATTTCGTTTACACATTTCTTGTGTCCAGAATTACAAAGATGCTTGGTTTAGGAAAGGTAAATATGTCGATGGGCGAAGTGTTTAATGAAAATAAATCGTAGATCTACGCTTTCGTCGTGAACATCCTCAGTATACTGCACTGCTAGCTGTACGATGTCGTTTTAAAACTTCCTTACGCGCGCGCGCACCCATAGCAACTGTGTTGCGTACGCGCGCGTCAGTCTCACGCAAAGGTGGTTGAGCGCATGTGCAGTGCTGTTGTAATAAGCAGAAAGTAAACAAGCAGTCACAATCGGCGGTGTATTTCCTCCCTTAGCCTTGAGGTCGCTCTTAGAGGTCTCTCTTCTCAGAGAGGTGGGAGAACCTTGCTTTAACTGAGAAGATTGTCTGCGTCCAAGCAGGTGTCAGACTTGATCTTGACAGAGTTAGCTTGTTAGGCCCGGGGATGCCCCTCCACAACATTGTGAATGTGTTGTGTGAGCTTAATTCGATAGTTCTAGTATTCATGGACTGTGCGGAAAGCAAGGCGAGGGTTTGTTTCTTCGGTCAACCACCAGAGCTGGATGCTGCAGACATGCACCAATGGATGGCACAGTTCATGGAGTTAGTACCGAAAGGATGCCCGAGACACTGCAGTGATGATACTGCAAATGGTAAGTCGAAATAATGAACTTCTACAGTAAGCGAAATATAGGAAGCACATTTTGTTAGGTATTCTGTCAAAACAAGATACCTTTGCGCGCAGCTTGATGGAGAGATTTGACAAAATAAAAAGTATGCGGGGCTGAGTATAGTATTCGATTTTCAAGTGTGTTTCTTCAAAAACATTTTTTATTCAAATTTGTAATTCCAAATTTGTCTTGAATATAGTGTGAAATTTTAGGTGATGGCCTGAAATTTAACAGTAGATGTACATTCAAGACATAATGGAATTACAAATGTTAGGTTATTTTTGGATAAATTGTAAATTTTCAGAAATGCTTAACTGGTGCCTGTTATCGGCCTCTTTCTCTGTTTTCACCTTGGGCATCAATCTGTCAAGGAAGGTTCGTTTTCAAACCATTAAGCGTTATTATAAAGAAAAAGATGTAACATAACAATATAATTATTTCGACAAACGGCTAAGAATTGTCTTATTTTGACGGACACCGTCACTTTTTCCGTGGGGGGGGGGGGGGGGGGGGGGGCGGTAACCTGATGAAACATCGTGTAATAACCCAGACATTTTTTTTATCAGGGGTCAATTTAGTACCAAAATAAGTTTTGTGGAATGGCCATATGAATGCCGTAGCAACCGATTTCACTAAATAGACTGCGTCACATATAATCTGTCTTATTTTTCAACATTGCCTCCGTAAATGTAAGACATTTTTTTCTGGGACCCAGACTTTGTGATATGATTACTAACCAACATTAAACACTAAATTGCTGGATTCTCCAAACAAAAGAACAGCTTCACATTATTGTGTTGTCGTTATTGAAAGCGTTACTACTTGAGAAGGAATTGGAAATATCATGGACGAAGTCGCACTACCGAATCATTTGCTGTATGCTTATCCCTCCACCTTTTCATCCATGTCTTGTTTTGATCTTGACAGTAGATAGTTGTCAGCGACTGGGTCTTGAAGACGGCACCATTCCTGATGAGCGTATCAGAGCATCAAGTGAGGGTCACTTTAATCCTGCCGCCGTGGGACGACTGAATGGCCCGTCGTATTGGAGTCCAAAATACTGGTAGGTCACTGCTCCCATCAGTGCACTGCGCGGTTGGGCTGTGTCTTAGTCTTAAGACTGCACTTGCACCTTTTCCTGCTACTCCGGTCCCGATCTTGCAAGTGTCGTTAATCCATCTCGGCGCTAGGGGGCGCTATCAACAAGATGATCACATTTTTACTTGGGAACTTTGGCACTGACGCCCAGAGACTGTCCAAGTAGCCCTTACGCGCGCTTGAGATGCTCGGAATCTCATGAGTCCCACTGCTACGGTTCCCATCAAGACTGCATTGGATTCATCTTTCTGATTGCGACGCCTACCACCGCCGCAGCTTGACGTAAGTTGATAAGTCAGAGACGTTTGGTAAGTAGAGACCGGATGCCTGCGGGAACAAAACAAAGCAACTACAGCCTTGGACAAAGACTACACCAGGTTGAAATATTGGCAAGCTTTTGTCAGTTTTTGTTCTAACTCTTGCGATTCCGTCCTGTTGGAACTGAGAATAATGTTTAATGTTCAATCATAAGGGACCTAAAGGTGATGAATGAACGTAATAATTGTTATACCATGAAAGAAGAAAAAACCTTTTAAACATTTATTCATAAATGCCCGAGACAGTTTACCTATTCCTATTGGTCGAGAGCCCGTCACGTGGTTGGTTTTAAACCAACGGAGAAACACCGCTGCATATTGTGCGCGGAGTTTTAGCACTATAGGCGCGCGAGGAACATACCATCGACATGACCAGAGGGGGGTTTCACAAAATATGAAGAAAACATGTTTAGCCAAATCGTTGAAATTTTGTCAATTTTTGACCTATTTGGACTCTTCACCCAAAAAGGTATACAGTACTATAAAACCCGGCTAGGGCCCGGTGGGGGATAATATACAGGGTGAGTAAAAAAAAGCGGAGCCCAAACCCCCAAAAATGTATTTCATATTTTAAAAATATGTAGCACTAAAAATAATAATGACTGGAAAGCCAAGTTCAAAAGCTAGTTTTAGATGAAAAAAATACTGAAATTGCTCAATCCGTTCAAAGAATATCACCATTTAAACGCAATGACCCTAAAACCTGTCTCGTCCAAAAAAATCAATTTATTGCGTGTTTTGACTGTTTGGAACAACAAAGAAAATGACACAGAATACTTGTTTCACAACTGTCACCAAATGTAGCACACAATATTTTGATTAACAACCCTGGTTACGCAAACAATATGATTCATAAAATCTACTTTTTTAAAAGACGGGCCTTCAAAAGGACTTTGTTGCATATTGTTAACGTTTAAACTAAGATTTCATCGCTGGTGATGTTTGAAGACAATTGTGACGATTGTTGAAATCGCATTTTTTGGACGAGACAGGTTTGAGGGTCATTGTGTTCAAATGGTGATATTTCGTAAACGGATTGACCAATTTGAGTAATTTTTTTCATCCAAAAGTAGCTTTTAAAATTTGCTTTCCAGTCATTATTATTTTTGGTGCTAAATATTTTTTTAAATATGAAATATGTTTGGCGTTTGGGTTCCGCTTTTTTGACTCACCCTGTTCCTCACCATCGGCTTGGGCCATTATTGGCGACCAGGCCCACATAGCCGGTTATAAAAGTACTTGTTTAAAATTGACCAAGCACATATTTATTCCCTTATGAAAGTTGCGAGATCGGCTCCTGTATGTGCACCTTTCCATTCAGATTAGCGCATGCATGCTTGGTTTACATATTACGTGGTTATCAATGTTTATATGCTTTCATCACGGGAAACCCATTCTCACCTTAAATGTACCCTTGTTTTAAGATGACACTGAATTGATTTTCTTTGGTTTTTAGTGATCTTGTCAGCTCGTCCTGTTGGATTGAGGTGGATCTCCTCCAAACGACTAGGGTTTCTGGCGTCATCACACATGGAAATAAACTAACCTGGGCCTCATATCTTGTGACAGAATTTCAGGTGTCCTACAAGCCTACACCTTCATCTAACTACGAGTACATCAAGGAAAACAACGGTGATATCAAGGTAGGCCTACTACCTACTAGCCTACTAGCCTATACAGGATAAGTGCTACTAATAACTTTTATTGAGCAAGATACAGTTTGATGTGATTTAGTTTCTGTAAAGTTCGAATTGTGTCGTCAAAACGTAAACAGAAGCACCACACAAGCGGTTTGACTATTAAGTTAAACAGTCATATAGTTAATTAGCTATCGCAACCGGATCAGAAAAGCAATTACAATTTTCTTGCAAACATTGAATTGAAACCACAGACGTACTTCAATAGTTGGGTGTACTTTTTGAGGGACAAATTTGACTATTTTGTTTTTACGTCTATTTTTTTGCACACTGTTTCCTTCTATATTCTGTTCTTTTCAGTTGTTTGATGGCGGGGATGTCATCTCTGCTTCTACCCCACACACTAACTACTTCAACCTGGCCGTCATGGCGTCTACCGTTCGCATTTACCTTACTGTATACATTGGTAAACGTGCGCTTCGGTTTGAGTTGATTCAATGTCCGATGGATTAATTCCATGTGGATTGATATTCATTATAGAAAAGATTCCTGCCACACGATTTTAAAGAAAAAGGAGGGGGGAAAATGTGAGAAATTAAAGCGATTTTCAATAGCACCCTTGAACAAAGACATTGAAATAACATTGGACCACCAACATAGGAATGGGTAGCCCGGTTGGTAGCGCACTAGAGGTCGCAGGTTCAAACCCAGCCCCAGACAGGTTTTTTTGTGTGTTCAACTTTCTGCTCGTTTTTATATGCACCTATAAACAATTTCACTTGTGGTTTATTCGAAAAGTTAGAAATGAAAGAACATAGTATCTTTCGGTTGAATCATATAGATAGAGCAAACAGATGCAGTTTGGTGTCCGTGTTGTTCATTTTGAATGTACATGACAACGGTGAATTGTTTTAATATCGCAGAGATTTGGTGGTTTGATATTTAATCAAATGGTTGTGTCGATAAATAGTTCAACAGTACAAGTTAGTTTAATCAAGCTGTACAAACATGCAGTAGATGCTATGTGGTTTAACTCTTCATTTGGGATCGTAGGATTAATGTAGGATTTTAAAGCATTTCCATGCTTCACATTGCACGCTTTCTTGCACTCATGAACCCAGTGATACCTCAACAACTTTATCTTTAGCACACAAAACACGTTATCGTTGATATAAACTTAATTTACAAAAAACTGTGTTGTTCCTAAACTTAAATAACGAATACTGGCTCTCAACAACAACAGCAACCACAACAACCACAACAACCACAACCACAACAACCACAACAACAACCACAACAACCACAACAACCACAACCACAACCACAACAACAACAACAACAACAACAACAACAACCAGAGTCAACATTTACGCTGCCGTATATATAATGACATTTTATTATAGATTGTCATCTAACCCATTATTTGCTCATTGTGTTATTTGGATATTTTTTAGACTGAAATTCAAGTGAACAAAATTCAACTTCACTTCGCAGTTCGTAACAGAAGTCTTTTACATACTTGTAAATAGGCGATCTAACGAATGTGTGTCTGAGAATTTTGAAACATGCACTAAAAAAACTGATATGAAAGCACTTAATAACGCACAGAAAGTACACTTCAATGTTTGACGGAAAAACATGGTGAAATGTTCCCAGCTTTCTCACTTATGTTGATGCCAACCACAGCCACCGCTAGTTCTGTGTCTACGATGGGTGGTTAACCCTTTCGCTTCACTGCAAAAACTAAACACTTTCTTGCTATCACTTCATAACAACTTGGTATAAATACCAAACATGTATAGAGTATTGATAAACAGTATTTAGCAACTGCACACTGATGTTCAGGCATTGGACATGTAATGTTCAGCCTCTAAACCTGTTTACAAAGTAATAGCAAGATCATTTGAATTTAATTTCTAAACGCAGCTTAAGGAGTGTACTCTTGATTAAAATAATCATTATTACTAAAATTGTACCATAAACAATATTTAAACAACATCTTGAGTATATATATAATTAGAGACTTTGCGTAATATGTCTCGATTTTATGCTTAATGTTAGCGTATAAGTATCTCAGTGAAGTCATCATTTTCGTAATTAAAAGCACTTATCTTAACGTTGACCAGATTCAATGGTTCGCATTTTACGACAAAGGCTTTGTTTTCGATAATATAAATGTTAAATTAATAATCTTGTACAATGGGCACATTTTATCAATTGTATTAAGTTTGACATGATTGAAGTTTACAGCATAGTTTACATCATTATGCCAACATGGTGTCTGGGTAAATGTTCATATATCAATTACCGCTTGTTTAATTAGGTATAAAAGTAATCAATTAATGATTTGTGACTGCATTTGTCTCGTCATTTCTTGAATAATTATTATACTAAGGATTCGTTAAACCAAAGCGGGAAAAAACACGAAGATGATTATAGGACAGCTGGAGACGGCAAAGAATGTCGAGTTTAAAATATGGGAAGAAAATTCCCTGCTAAACAGGGACACATCGCATTAGATGAAATGAAGAATACTAGGTAAGCCTGCTTAATCTCACATCAGGCCAAGTCAGAGCGCATATTCAATTGATTTACAATGGATATTCACTGACAGACGTGTCAAACATCTGTATGGGGCCAATTTCACGGCGCTACTAAGCACAAAAATTTGCTTAGCACAAGATATAAAAGCAGGTTACCAGCCAAAACTCCATGTGATGTATATTGCTCGTGATTAGTATTCAACTGTTGTTTATTACTTAGCATGAAAACCACATGGAGTTTTGGCTGATAACCTGCTTTTGTATATGCCAGAAGTTTGTTGTGCTAAGCAAATTTTTGTGCTTTTTAGCAGCGCCGTGAAATTGGGCCCTGGTCTTCACAATGACCCAGATTTAGCACATTACGGGGTAATCCTATACGATAACACTGCCCAGCGCTCCGTACCGCAAACAGTCTTGTCAGTCAGTCAGAAAGTCAGTCAGCGAGATAGGAACAAAAAGGCTAGTAGCCTGGGCCCCAAGACGAACAGAAATTTGCTTAGCTAGAATTGAAACTAGATTTCATACCGAGGTAGAAGCGAAACCTACCTTTTAAAAATCCTGTCTGACGTTACAAAAACTTTAGGTATCAGTTACAAATTAATGGACATGCAAATCTGACATTTATGATGTTAAATAACTTGTTCCACACTGGTGCATCAATAGTTCTCGTAGATTGAGCCCGAATCCAAGTAGGTTTGGATCACCTGGTAGCACAGTTGGTACTGAGCCTGAAATTAAGAGCGAAACATAGGTATGAGTTGATTTAACTCAAGTTCACATTTAAATGTGACAATTACATTATGACTGTCTTTTGTATCCATTCATGCTTCAGTTAACCCCACTGTTTTGGCTACCGCTCTATTGTTTTTACCGCTGTTGTACGTAGCAACGAAGCATCTGACTCGGACACGAACTAAGAACCCGATGCACACAAAGCCGATCAACAAGACAAGGTTTCGATAAGTCCAAATACCACATCGCAATATTGTGCTTAAAATCACCCATCACACCCCGGTACGTAGGTGCAGTAATAATGACTTGAAACGTACCAAAGTGTTGACCATCCCAGCCCGGGTGATGCGGAGTTTCTTGATGGCTTGGAAGACGTCTACGTCTTTCTCCACTGCAAGTTGGTCCAGGAGTGTGAGTAAGGCGCAGAAGGTTCCGCTGCATCCAACACCGTCTCTGAGACAAGAATAAACAGTTTGGTGAAGAAAATTAATTCAACTTGAATTATTTACATTAATTTAAAATGGTAGAAACACATGGAATATGATTTTGTCTGTGTGAGTCATTCTGGTACTTCATAATTACAACGTAAACGCATGACTGTGAATGATGTAAAACGAGGACATGCCATCGATCTTGCTCTGTTTATACCTCTCCTCGGTTTTATACACGTATACCAATCGAGGACTGTCCTCACTTTGTTTCATGATCCCCAATCAGAAATGCATTATGGGTGTCGTCGATGAAGAACAGGAAAGCTGATGAAGAAACCTAGAGGAAGAAAGTTTAGTTCAGACTGTTCAGACGGAGGGAACAAGTTCAAGCTTTAACGACGTTTCAGAGATCCCATGGATTAAAATATGCATACCTTCAATCCTGGCCAAAATGGTTGGGACACTTCCTGAGCCTGCCACGGTCACCCACTCCCCCGCTCCCCCGGTCAATGTTGTTCTCTCCAGCTGATAGAGCACACACCGCGCAATGAGAGACAACATTGAACGGGAGCCGGGGGGTTGGGCCCAGCGAGATTTGGCCAGGATTGCAGGTAAGGAAAGTAAAACTGGGCCTGCGCGGCTGCCACGGCTGACAACTATAGATTGTTTCTCCCTGTGGAGTACTTACATGCAGTGGACAGTGATGGGTCCATCAGGGTGGTCGGTCGTCCACATCTTAACAGCCTCCAGCACCTTGAGGAGACTAGACGGGGATCTTGGAACCTCCTTCCCTGGGGGCCATCCCAGGTATTGGATCTGACAGACGCTCTGAACCTCGTCATTCTATTTGTCAAAGTAATTGGTTGAAAATATTGTTTGTTTTACTTACTAGCAACAAAACCTACAGTATTTAATGGCAAAATCTGACATCTAATAATGATTCGTGTGCTTCGTGGGTATACGAACATAATCTATGTCATAATATGACATAATCTGTTTCGAATAAGCTGCAACTTATATAAAATATTTAACAAACAACATTCGTCTTATAGCTTCGGTCACCCATTACTATAGAAATACCCAATCAAATCGAACGCACGTATAGTCGACAATAAGTGGACAAGTCTATTCGACCATTCGGGTTAGCCTACCTGAGATTTGTCACATCGCTGGTTACCAAAAAAAATGCGGGCACTCAGCGTAATGCAGGGAGCCAGGACATTGACGTTCGAGCACAGTTCGACGCGGGATCCTGATTCTAAGTTAAAAGTTAGCACGCAGGCGCAAGGTGCGTCACGAGTCAACGACAAATTGATGGAACTTTCTCATTTGCCTACCTTCCTAGCGGGATAGCTAACATCAAACTGCCGTATGATAATATCCTCGCTATACCGGTCCTCATTCGTCAGTGTAACGGTAAGTGGTCCGAACTCCAAACTGTCCTTCTCTGGCCAATACTGGACAACGCTCTGGAAAAAAGAATAGCAACAGTCACAAGATATTTAGGCTGATGGAAGGAAAGTAAAGTGCATAATGGCCCTCCAGCGACAACATTGGGGATGGTAATGACGTATCCTATCAAAGAGCTTGTACTGTATATTCAACAGATGCATGCAGGTACCGTGTGAAATATCACCATCTATTGTCTTCGTTTAATTGCCATGTTCCCGACAAATTTTCAGCAGATAGCCTTTTTTAAATAATTCATAAGAGTGGAAACTAAGCTAACCCTTGAAATATAAGGAATTGCCTATACCGGGTCATTGTCCATAGAATTGAGCATGACAATGCAAGATGCTTTGTAGTCAAACACCATCCTCCACATATCACCCCGTGTGTTAGGCAGAGGTGCCTGGGTGGCAAGGTAGGCATGCTTGCTGTTATAACCCTGTAAGATAGAAGAACACAGACAATTAGGTTTCTATAACTCCAAGGGTATTACAATTTCTGCATAATAACTATGCTTTATCAATTGTTTGTAAACAGTAATAAGAAATCAAGCTAACACAATATACGCACTATAATCTAGTCTGTGCCAACATTTCAGGCGTTAAGTCATGGGCGTGGTCACGATATGGGAGGGCGTTATAGTTAAGCTGTACGTTTTGAAGAAGTTTAAAGAGGGTTACTCGAGGGGTTGACGGGTGAGGTATGGATTAAATTTGCTGTCGATGTTTTAGTAAGTTTGTACGACTTACATCCAGGAATGTAGCGTTGATGTAGTTGGTACTTCCTTCGTCACCTTTGGTCATCAGATACGGTCGGGTGCTGTCTTCTGTTAGACAAACAGTTTCGATGAAAATTTTAAAATGCATGTCATACAAGGCCTTGATATTAATAATCCAAAGTCAGTGTAGAAATAAACAAAGCATTATAAGCATTCTACACTTGTCTTTGAAACGAATGCTTATTGGAATGTGGTTGGAACACCAAATTTTTGAAAAACAAGGCAACATCACAAGAAAAATAGTTCAACTTATGCTAATTTAACGAAAAGTGTTTGCTGTATTGAGCCAACAAGCTGACAGAACCTAAACAAATACAGGAAAACCGTTTATACGTACTCACCAAAATCTGTTACTGTGGACCGAGAACACTATACCCATATTCTCTAAAAATGAAATAAACTTTCAAGCAGTTTAGAAAATAGGTAGTAACGGTAATAGTGGGTTTGCATGTGCCAGTAATATGTGCCTGTTTTGGATACTGACTTACTAGGAATGCAGTCTTTGAATCTGTTCTTGTCAACGTTGGCGGCGCTTCTCCCTCCCATACACTGCTCCTCGCTCGGTGAGGCAGTGAACGACTCCAACATCTGTGAAACAATCCCAAGAGAATAAAATGGCAACCGATACAAGATAATCAGCAGGTTAAAATAACTTTAAATACCCCATGTCTATGTTCTTCTATTCATCATTACTTATTACTCGGGATTATACCTCATTTAGGGTGGATAAAGAATTTTTAACCTGCGGGGTACGCAGGTTTGGGGTGGAAGGCACAATTATTATTTCCCTGAGAAGAGTCTTCCATTGAATGAGCTAACAGTTTAACAAATAAATTATGACAAGAGAGCTTATACTGCTTTCTTTTACCTCTAATCTTTCTTGGCTACCCTGCAGAAGTCCTGAGGATGTTCACGATTGTTACAAATAAGCCATCTTTGTCGTTGTTAGGAAAAGGTGGAAACCAAGATTTATTGCTCAGTAGGAAGCCTTTCCTAAATCGCGATTAAATGTCTTGATTATGGTTTAAAAGTTTCTTAATGACCAGCATGTTTCCGAAAACATTTCAGACGACTTGCCTGGAACTGCGCCTCGATGCCAGTTGTCCCTGTCTTCTTGTCCCGTTTCTTGAGTTTAGCGAAGCTCTGATGGAAGCGATCAGCACTGATGGCCGTGTTCTCTGACAGACTTGACTCCAACAGAGCATCGAAGATGAACTTGTATTGATCCTAGAAATACAAACGATGCAATATTGAGATGTTGCATACCATATGAACTCTTGTTAGTGTGAATTGTCACCTTCTAGTTTTAATTTACAAATCTGAAACTGGAAGGTTATCCGAAACCAAAGACTCACCAGAGTTTGGACCATAAGGAAGCGCTGATCCCTCATATCGCGTACAAACCTCAAGACATCGACTTGGCCCTCTGCCTCCGCCATCTCAAGCATGGAGTCCAAAGTGATGAAGGTTCCTGTGCGGCCAACTCCAGCACTGAAGAAACGAGTACGACATAATCAGATGTTTAAAAAATTTTCTCTACTCTAACTCAATGTGAAGTTTGAAGATAATTTGTATTAAATTAATGTCCGAACGATGTTTGTAGAAAGGCTATGATAAAATGAAATATATATGATCGGTAGTTAATAGTTTCATAAAGGTTGGCTCATAAGTTTGATTCGAGAGAAACACATAACAGACTTATTTTTCTTAGTCGGGTCATCTTTACTGAGACTTAAGGTTGAATTCGATTGCAGAGAAAAGTGTACATGTCTTCGTGGAAGCTTTTTGAGAACTCAACATACAAAGAAGTCACGTAATGATACCTGCAGTGGACAACCATAGGTCCATGTTGTGAAGCGTCTGTTGCTCGGACCCTTCTGACAAACTGAAGTAACGGAGATGACTCTGGTGGTTTCATGTCTGGCCAGGTGGTGTAGTGGAACTGGGTTAACTCACGGTATTCACCCTCAGGCTCAGTGCTCTTTAAGACAAACAAGGAAAGTGTTTGTTTTAATAATATTTTAATTTTGCACTACAAAAAAAGGAAATCTATATTGAAAGAAGGGTGCGAATATCAGACGGTCACAAGTAAGTTTCTGCAATGTGTAAAATCTGGATAAATTCAAAAGAAGCGTTTAAAGCTTTAATTTGGGCGGCATGTATTGCTTTATGTTAGCTTTACACGCAACGAAGTAAGCAACTTTAACCGAGTATCGGCAATCATGGTACGGAATATATGTAGGCCTAGATAGAGCACAAACATGATTGAGGCTTTTTTTACAACGGGCATAGTGTTTTTAATGTAGGCCTAAACTGGATTGGATAAAAGAATGTCATGATTTGTACCTACCTTCGACAAGTGGAAAATCCTTTCAATGAAATTTGCGTGTTTTGTTTCGTCCACGTGACGGACGAACAGATCTCCGTAGTTGGCGCTGCCCTCACTCGCTGGCCAGTATTGCTCGCATTTCCCCTGGACAAAGAGGAAAAATGAGGTCAGAATAAAACCTTACCACGGAATGCTTGAAGATGAAACCGTTTGATTTAAAAAAAAAAAGTGAAAATAATGGTTACCTGTGTATTAAAGTCTGGAATACAGCGGAGTAATAAATATAATTTCGGCAATTTGCGTCCTATAAACTTTGGTATAAAAAAACTGGCGATAACTTTTTTTTCAACGTGTGGACGGCAACGTTGTTTTTGTTTCCTTGTGTAGATGGTGGTATGATTTTTTGCATGTAGATGGTGATTATGTTTGTTTTACCTTGTGTAGATGGTGGTATATTTTGATCTTTTTTTTCATCGTGTATATATGGTGATGAATTTCTTTCACTGTGAAAAGATGGTATGCTGTATTTAGATGGCGGTACATTTTCACCATGTCGATGGCGATGGTTGGTGATGTCCTAGTTTTCAAGATTTGTTCGAGTGTTTGACAAAAAAATGATATATAGGCGCAATTGTATGGCTTGTAAGAACCACTTTTTTTCGGCTCACAGTCTTTGATGTCTATTCTATTTGACCGGTTTCTTTTTATGAAGCATCGTACACGTATCTAATTTCCTATGATTATCTTACTATAAATTACAACAAAACGTGGAAAAGCAAAATGTATGCATGCAAGAACGACATGGACCAGTTTAAGAAACGAAGTAGGTAGGCCTATAGGCCCGTGTGTATTTCAAATTCAATACCTTGCCATTTTCGATTAAGTTCGTCAGCATGACGATCTTTCCTACTCGTTCCTGCCACACCATGCGCCACATGTCCCGCACTGATGCCTTGGTAGGACCTTTATCATGACAGAAACACTTATTTGAACAGTGCTACGTGCAAGAATGAGTCTACTGCCTTGAGAAGTGCGAACTGCCTTCGAATTTACTACAACATACCACTTCATGCTTATCAGAAAAGGGTGACATACAAAATTGAACGTCTAGGATATCAAGGAAAGGGGGATGCAATTCTGAACAGTTTTATTCTATTCCAACTTTAGATGATGACAACCCACTAATATAATCATAAGACGTGATGCTGTTAAAAATATCGGATATATTCTCAAATATATATCTCAAAATCGGATATTTTATGGTTATTAGATCATTTAACATTATGTTGATGAGATTTGAGGGTTTGCATGGCGGAAAGATACTGAGACAAGAGAAGTTTGCGGTAGCATCATGCGAATAAATCCCTTTTGTGAGTATGTGTGGTTCTGAAAAGAACCGGAGGTATGTGTGGTTCTTTTCAGAACCACACATACTCACAAAAGATATTCATTCACATGGTGCTATCGCAAACTTATATTGTCTTAATATTATGTTGAGGGATCAAGCAGAAATACGTATATTGTTAGTTTTTGTGCTGTCTCTGCAATAGATTTTTTTTAGTTATTATATTTTCTTCACGAAATACTTACCCTGGCTGGCAATATACTTTGAGTCATGCTTGTAGCCCTATTGGATAGAAAAATATACACCAATAGCTTATAATTATCACTTCTTTTGAAAAGGAAAAATACATTTTGAAGTATTGTGGTTAAATTGGCATCCTAACCATGAAAGATTGAAATGCAGACTTACATTGATGTAGGAGGCATTGATGTAGTCTGAGTGTGGGTTATCTTCAAGACACTCCAAGACCACGCGAGAATGGTCATCTGTCGAGACAAGGTATTGCAATATTTTTAGGTCTAGTCCGCGAACATTTGGCATATTTTAATATTAAATTAGAGTTATGCCGCAGGCGAAAGCTAGTGGGATCTAAAATAAGAGATATTTTAAATAATGGGTCCCCGTTTTACTTCATTGATAGATTTTGACAACAATCCCATGGTAAAATTCTCTAAAATGACAAAATGTAAAATATTTACTGACGAAAAAGTGGTATATAGGCCCTGTTGTTGATTAGCTTTGAATCGCCCAATGAAATGAACTCACATGCCAAGATGTTGTTGTATCGATTATTCTTCTTGTTATGCTCCAGTTTGGCAACATTCCAAGAGTGGATAGGTACACTTTGAATCGACTGGAAGAAATAGGAAAATAGCATTATCAAAAAATCGCAGTTACGAAGACACAGATCTAGAAAAAAAAAACGTATATACGTACGTCTGACCCAAATAACAATTAATCTTGGTATTAAGAAAAGTCAAGAGTCTCACTTCATAGTCTTGTTGGAATCCATTGATCTTCCCAGCTGTTCTACTCTTGATGTATTCAGCCAGTTGAGCCATGGCAACTGGGCCGGCTTGGGAGAAACTCGGAGATGTCTTTGCCGAAGCCTTCAGCTTGGGCTTGGTGGAAGGATTGACGTACGGTTTGGGCTTCACGGGAGCCTTAGTGGATGTGGATGGACCAGATGCTGATGCTGAATCAGTGGATGGTCCCACTTTTGGCAACACATCAACAGCTACTTGATCGGTTGACTTTGGTGGATTAGTAGATGACACCACTGGTTCATGATCCTTTGTAGCGTATGGCTTGTAACCAGACGTAGACGGCAGATTCTTCAGCTCAACTGAAATAATAAATGCCAGTTTCGTTTTCCGACCAAACATTCTCAAATGACTGAATTGCCGGTTTTTTTTTTTAAAGAGCTATACGAAATTATCGTCGTTTAAATGGTCTTGCTAGTTCTATCTTTGCAGATGAATTGCGATAAGACCTTTCTTATTAATGCAAGTTTCTTTTTAATGTGTATATTTACGTGAACATGCCCAAGTAATAGACAACCATACCTCCAACTTGGTCTCCTTTCCCATAAATATCCTGGACACAGTCGCCAGTAATGTCCTTGCTCAGTGCCTTGGTCCTCTGCTGTCGTCGTTTCCTTTGATAGAAAATGCCAAAAAGTCTTTATAGATTCTTAAAAGATCGCATTGTATTTCATTTTCAGTGTCGTGATTAAGGTGACTTACTTGACAACGACAACTATCAGGAGAGCAAGAACCGCAACTACCAAGATGAAGACGACCACGCCCAAAACTGAGCCCGCAGGACTACTCCCAGGCGGAGTAGGCGGAGCAGCATCGTCTTAAGAAAGACAAAATAAAACCAACTCGATTATTACATACACATAGTAATATGATGGGCCTGCGAAATAAGATAGGTAAAAAGCTTTGTTATGACGCATACAGGCTTATTTGTGTTCTTACACATCCGTGTTCTTTCAAATAGATTATTAACAAATACAATATCTATGAGATTGACGAAGTCTTACATTTCTTCGATTTACTATTTACTAAATGTATTTACTATTTACTATTTTATTTCTCGGGAATAAATCAACAAATACATGTAAACAAATGACTAAAGTTACAACACACACAAAAACAAAAGCTTTAGATACATAAACAAACAAACAAAAACAAAATACCATTCAGCTCCCGAAGGATTGCCGTAAAAGAAACATTGTTCTCCAAAGAACCCCTAGACAGAAACGATGATTTATATTCGATTTATATTTCAAGAGCATAATTTGTTTATTTAACTTCGAAATACACCTTTGTCGTGATAGTTGAATAAACATTCAAGTTATCAGTGAATTAGGAATAGCAAAGTTATTGATTGCTGTTTAAGAGTATTTTTTATTATACCTTTGGGAATCTCAAAATCTCCTTCCTTCCAGGGTCCCGGTCCTACACGCGTGAACGCCCACAGCCTGAAGAGGTAGGACGCCCCCTGTGACAGACCATCAACTTCAACAGACTCTGCCGTGGTGTCGGCTGTTTTTACCATGGACCCAGATGCGTCACGCAGCTCGTACGTGTAGCCTGTGATGTTACCGCCTCGTTTGCCGCAGGGAATGGGATGCCAAGACACTCGAACGCTCTGATTGAATGGGAGCATTGTGTCGACTACCGGAGCAGCCAATGGCACTGTAAAGAAATGGATTTCGAAAGTGTTGTGATACTTGCATTGTAATAAAAAAGACTATCGTGATCATGTATAGGTGTATATGGCATTGCAATGAAATGGATTTCAATATATTTTTTACGTGTTGTACTATCGAGTTAATTTGTTGCATTACATTGAAAAGGGTCATGAGATCATGCACAGGTACATACGCATAATTAGCTTATAATGTCACTTTGTCTGACAAAAGAAACGTTGCCTACTTGCTATCCATGAATAAGTACCCTGATTTGTACCACAGAAGTCTGTCTTTAGACAGAAAGCTAAGCTGCGCCCGAAGCTCCTGTCCAGATCTATTGTCTAGGCCGGCCATTGGCAATTACAACGACTAAGAAAGGTGCTGACAAGAGTCATAGCTGTAGCTCTGGAGGCCCGATTCAGACATGGCCGTAAGCTGCTCAGGGGTAAACCGCCCTCTTGCGTTTAAGTGCACTTACCTCCCTCGTCGGTCGTAACTGTCTTGCTCTTCCTGTATTTCGCGCCAGCATTATTTGCTGGTACGACTTGCACGTTGTACGTAGAGTAAGCATGCATTGATGTGAATTCGATGCCACTGCCATTTACAACTGTCTTATTTATAACGGCAAGATCGGTCCGTGGTTGGCACTGTTCCAAATTGAGAAGTTGGTAACTAACGCGATACGAGGTCACAGGGCAAGGGTTGTCCTCGTTCCCAGCAGTTGTCCAAGAGGTCCTGATTTTATTGGTTGAAGGATCGAGGTTAAAGGATTGGATTTCATCTGGAAAAGATGAAAGATCAAACTACATCATTAACAAAAAAATGATCTTCAGTAATATCTATTTTCAATGAGCAATGGTAAAACGCATGCTCCATTTTCCCATCTTTTTTTTCAAGAGAATCAAAAACTATAACACTTTCGTACACCTGACCCATTCATCGAATGGGGGAAAAAATCATCAAAATAGTTTTACGAGTTACCTATTACGACTGTATCTTGGTGTGTCCAGTTTGCCCACAGACCTGCTCCTATGCGAGTAAATGCTCGAACTCTGATTGAGTAAGTGGTACATGGTGATAAATCACGAAAGGTAACCGACAGCTTGGAGATGTTACTCTTCTCGTTGGTTTTTCCTTTTTCTTGTGGTCTTGGCCCTTTGAATCTGTACTCGTAGTGCGTAATGTTGCCACGTCTACTGCCACAAGGGATGGGATCCCAGGAGAACGTGACGCTGTCGTTGGTTGCAGTACCTCGGATTACCGGTGATGCAGATGGTACTGTAAAAGATCAAATTTACCAGATTTATTTTTTTTCTTCGAAAATCGAGTTATCCCTAAATTGCACCCTAAATCAAGAAAATGAAGAAAACGTGTCACGGTCTTTTCAATTGTCAAAATTGTGTTTGACATTTTAGTTGATACACAGGAACAGTGGGTTAAAACTATTCTAAAACCCAATGTGATTGACATCCATTTTGTAACTACATTTTCAACAACAAAACCCATTAAATCATTAGTATTGAAATATTTAAATAAACACAATCAGACTACAATATAAAACACCGAACTAACCGTTTTCGTTAGTGACTATAATTTTGAAACTGCCTTGAGCGTGTCCAGCTTCATTGATTGGCGCAACGTTCACTCTGTATTTTGAGTAATACGCAGGTAGGTGGATCGTAACGTGAGTGGTGTCGACTGTTCCTACATCTATTACGATTGGTGGATTCTGCTGCATGCATCGGTCCATTCTGATCAGCTCGTAGGTGACTTTGTAAGATGTCGCAGGACAGGGTCCTTTGGGGGAGGTCCAACGAACGTCGAATTCGTTTCGTTCACGTGAAATGGCAAGTATGAATATGTGTGATACAGGACCTGGTACTGTACATGAAAGCATCAAAATGAAAATGATAATGTCACACTGGGTTAGTAAAGGAAATATCTTTTCAACAATTTACAAAATGTATTGTGAAGTGTATTTTGTAAAAACTGATTTGCAATGAGGAATAAATAAGAAAAAATAAACAGCGATGCAGCATCTCTAAAAGGTAGGGTTTCTAAAAAAAAAGTGTTATCCCAACGTTGTGGTCAGTATTATGTGGTGTGTCAACGAAGATGTCCAAAGTTGTACTCGACTTGAGATAAAATCCATATATCTCGTGAAAATACACCTTTTGGCATGTGATTGTTATCCAAAACGTATAATGTTATCCAAAACGTTCAAAACAAACGTTCAAAACAGTTCAAATTGGCGCAACCCCAAAAAGGTCAACACGCACAATGTTTGTCACTCCGTTTTAAAATGAATTGAAAAACTACGAGGAATAGAATTACCATCAGTGGCCGTTCGTTGATGCACAGTTAACCACAGTCCACTCCTTTTACTTGAATATGCACTGACACCCAGAGTGTAATTTGTACAGGGTTCTAAATCGGTGTGTGTCACTGATGTGGTTGAGGTACTCGTCCTGTTTATCAGACTTGAGCTTGTCAGACGTGTTTCATAGCCTATAATATTGCCACCTTTCTTCCCACAGGGTATGGGGTTCCATGTCCACGTGATACTGTCAGTCGTTGCTGGACTACCGATGAATTCGGGTAGAACCTGTGGAACTATAGTAAACATAGGCCTAATAGTTAGTTTTAATGACAGGATGATTGATATCCGTCATTCTATGATTTTGGGAAAGGTATTCAGTTGAATCATTTGCATTTTTTATAATCATTTTCTAACCTCGGATTGATATTGTAACGGACAGTCTATGCACATTTTTGTTGTCATTGCTTTCTAGCGCTGGTGCTCCGGCGGAGGGGCTCCGGCGGCGCAAGCCTGACCTGGTTTTGGGTCTGGCTGGCGCGCGCTCCGGAAATAGGCTCCGGAAATAGGTTGCTTAAGTGGGTTTCTTTTGTTGGGGGACGCGGGAAAGGTTTGGCGAGATGCCAGGGTCATTGCAAGTTGTTACAATTGTATACATTTGTTCAGACTGTGTGTATTGCTATGCTGGGAATCAGCAGTCGTGGTACTGGTAGCAGTGTGGCAGGTTGACCACAGAGTTGTTGTGCTGAATAAATGAGAGTTTCTTCAGAAGTTGGAAATCCTGTGTGTTTGTCCCCTTTTCTTGCGTTTGGCCGGACTCGGAGGACAAGAACCCAATAAGGTCCCGTTACAATATTTTTTATCTTTAACCGCACTTTCCAGGTATAGTTTTTATAAAAGAAATCAACTTGGCTTTCACCAACGATATGCCGTTCCTTCAAGTAAATGTAACTGTCTGTCATTTATTCCTAATATAATTATATAATTCCTCATAGAAAAAGATGCAACCAGTGGTGTGGTAAGGGTGAAGGGTTTCGTGGAAACCAGTATGTCCACAAAAGTTGGAAAACAACCAGAACCCAATATTATTATTAGAAAGTGACGTTCAGTTAACAATAGCAACTGCGATGCCATACATCGGCATTAAACGGGGTATTTAGATTTGTGTTTCTAAGGTGCGTATCAGTCCAAAAATACTTGACAAATGAAAATAAGCATGTTATGCGAACTTACTGGTTTCCCTAGTTATAAATCGAAGAGACGATATCGTGCCGTTTCCGGCTTCATTTCGCGGTGTAATAGACACATTGTAAGTAGAGTACGCCTTCAGTCCTTGTAGAGTGATGCTGGTGTCAGTGGTGGTCACGGATCCGCCATGTTGATGGACCTCTAGACACTGCTCCAGGTTTATGAGGTCAAAGGTCACCAAGTAGTCGGATGCAAGACAAGGGTACTCTTGGCTAGTTCCCGGTGCGTCCCATAATAGACTCACGCTATTGTGACTGGTGCCCTCAACGGTCAGTTTGTCAACAGCATCTGGGACTTTAACAATGATTTATTCATAAATCAGTTTTACAATCGTAAGTTAACTCCAGTTTTTTTTATATTGCAAACTAGCAATTTGGCTGGTTCCTGGTGCCTCCCACGATAAACTGAGGGTATTATGACTGGTGTTCTCAGTGTACGGTCAGTCTATCTACGGCATCTGGGACTTTTAACACGGATGAAAAGATATTATGACATACTCAAATTTATCACCCATCGTTTGTTGATGTATTTTGAATTGTGTGAAGGAATTGATCCTCAAAAGATTGGAACAGAATAACCAAATATCTGCTCAGTAATTGCTTCCCAAAACGTCAGTCACGAGATAACTTCAAAGTGTAAAAAAGATACCACTCGAAATAAAGCATAAATGAAAGACAAGAACGGTAGTATGTTTGGTCCTCTTGAGAAAAAAAACCCGCCAAATTCAGGCTTAAGTGGCCGGGAAGTCGGCTATTAGGGGAAAACTGGGGGCGATCTTTGCACATGTCTTTCAACACAAATATATAATACAAGTTTCAAACCACGCTATGAATGTATACCTTTTGAATTAGACGTAAATAAATGTTTGTAGCTGAATGATCCGATGCCTTCGGTGGTTTCAGCAGCTACCTCAAATCCATACCGTGTACCACATGGTGACAGGTGTACAGATACAGAGTTGCCTTCAGCCCGTACTGCTTCAAGTTCCTGGTCACTCTCAACTAGCCCGAACTTGTACACGTAATTCACAATCATGACGCCATTTGGACAACTCACGGGCTGCCAAGTAAACGTCCTGCTCGCATCACTGTCATCCAGAGTAAAAGATGAAACGTTCTGTGGTACAAAGGACTCGGTAGCTGAGTCTGAAATTAATTGAATACAACCTTCTATTATATTTTCTACAAAGTTAGGGTACAGTTTTATAATGTCTGATGCTCAAATAGCCATTCACTAACAAAACGCTGGTGAAAATTTTGTCGGTTAAAAAAGTTGGTAAAAATTTTAACCAACGTTGTGTATAATTGTTTAATTTTGCCCAACGTTTGCCCAACGTTGCAACCAACCGTTGGGCTGTTCACCTGTTAAGCAACAGTTGGTTAAAAGTAGTCCCTTTACCCAATACTAGTTAAATGTACCCGATTTTAACCATCGTTGGGTAAATTGACTACTTTTAACCAACTGTTGCTTAACAGCTGAACAGCCCAACGGTTGGTTAAAAAAAGTTAACCAACGTTAGGCAAAATATGCCCAACATTGGGCAATGGTTGGGCAAAATTGGACAATTTTACACAACGTTGATTAACATTTTAACCAACTTTTTTAACCAACACAATTTTAACCAGCGTTTTGAGAGTGTTGGAATAAAGTTTCATTTCAAAGTTAAAATATTTCAACAAGATACCTGTAGACAACGATGAAAGCTAATTAAAAATACAAAAGGGTACTATTATGTAGCCCCATACTTTGTGATGACGCAGGAAACGTAGGGGGCTCGGAAAAAGTTGCCTATTATTTCAACATTTTGCATGGCGAATTCATCTGGGACACAGCAAGGGCGGATCCAGAACACAATTTTGGGGGGGGGCAAAAAAAATTTGGGTCCCCCCAAAAAGTAGGTCCCAAAAAATACGGCGTGGGGTTCGGGGCCCGCTTAAGGGCCCCGAAAAAAATTCGGATTCTAGATGCTCTGTGGTGCGATCTGAGGCAATTTCTGACCACTTTAACCAAATTTGCCCCCCCCCCCCCTGGATCCGCCCTTGGGACACACCTGCGCATTGTTAATCTCACATCAGAATACTGAAATGTATGCAAGTCTGATGAAATTATCAAACACATTTGTCATTTAAAAGGCGATTTATTTTCAAGCTGCATGTATCCTGAACCCGCACCTTTTCTATAATAGTCCCTAATAATCACTGAATCGGGCGCGTCGTTCATTTTCATTTGGGAATGGATGCGCACTGAGGTTTAACATGTATGAAGCAGCAGTCCCCAGACCTTCCACTGTTTGTGAGAGCACCTCCACTATTTGCTAGCTAGAGAGTTAATAGTAAATAGTATCTACATGTAGTTATTAGTAAATTCATTTTATTTACCAAGAGTGTTATGCATATACATGTAATGCGTTTGAGCCGGCCGGCCGGCCAACTGAGGGCGATCTACAGATTGGACGGTACAGACGGGAGCCCCTGCTGTACAGACTTAAAAACTCGTATGTGAGTATACGCGCGTTTTTCCATACGTCTTCGATACGTTTTCCACTAGAGTTCTGTGACATGTTTTGAAGTTACAAAGTAAAGAAGTGTTTTGCTGTGTTCCCAAGTTGAGGAAATAAAAAAAATGTGTCAAGGGAAATCGTCACCATTGTTTGTCAGTTAGTGTGTCCCAATACCCACCTCCCCATCGACTCGTTACAATACAGCGAGGGCGATATTTCACAATGTTACTTCTGATGCGAGGAGTCATGTAGCCTAAACCTAAAAATGCTTTGACTGATATGTTGCACAGAAACTGTTCCGTTAAACTAAAATGAAATGATACAAGTTTCTTTGCTTTTAAAAACAAGGCGCTCGATCTGGTCCATTTCTTTATTTATAAGTGAGAATATTGTCTTACCTGGGAATTCTGTGCAAGTTGTACTGCACGATGCTATTCCATTATACGGAAGACAAATTTCTGCAATCAGAAGAAAACAATTGATGCAATAAATGTTAGCAAATGAGGAATGTTCCAGTAACTTCGTTCATAAAATCCGATGTAAATTTAGATATCTATGTGTTCTGCCGAAACCTTTTGATCGAGTGAGTAGACATTTTAGAAGTAGGCCTTTCACATTCACAATCAGTTACTTCTTAATCCCAATGAATCATCCCTTGCCAGCAATGAAGTGAAGTTTGGAAAACTCACCAATGCAGTAAAGCATTTAAAATAAGGTTAAAACATATCAATCGAAGCCAGACGTATGTGTGTTTTATTCATCCGATGGAAACATGTGACATTGATGTTTAATACCTTGGCAGTTCAGCCCTGTGAATTCTGGCGCGCAGTCTCCGAAGCACTCGCCCGTAGTTCTGTTGCACGCGACCCCGTCCATGCAGTGACAAAGGCGACAGTCTTGTCCATATGTGTAATTGTCACAAGCTGAAACAAAACACCCGCATTGACATTCTGATACATGTGTTTCATTCAAAGGATCTGACCTAGTGTTAATACATCATTATTGTTCATTACCTTGGCAGTTGATGCCTATGAATCCTAGGGCGCAGTCCCTGGGACACTGGCCTGTAGTTTCGTCGCATGCAATCCCGTCCATGCAGTGACATGTCTGTGCACAGTCTGCTCCGTAGAAACCTTCAGCACAAGCTACAATACAATTAGATTGCGTTCTACAGTTATGTTTGAGTTTATCAATAGTAATTTTTTAGAGAGTACTCGAGTCCAACTGTTTACTAACTATACATGCATATTTTAGGGTTTTCTTAAATTTATTAAATTTTTTTTGTAACTTTATTGTCGGGTTGCAATTAATTCAGAACTAGTAATTTTGTAAAGTAACTATTTAATCAAAAACTAAAAGGTGGCATTTTTTTTTTCGTTTGATGTCTCATTACGTATTTAAAATCTTGTGTAGCCAGCAAAAAAAAAAGTGTTGCTAGAAAAACACTAATTTAAACAGCAAATCTATTTTTCTGTTGAAAGTTTAAAATAACAATTACGAACAGAATATCTTTAAAAAAACATGCGTTAAGAAAACTGTCGTATTCTTCGGACTTACTTTCATCGCAATCGATTCCTTGATATCCCGCAGCACACGAGCAGCCAAAAGGATCTGGTAAACAGAACAACATCCCTGCACACGTAGGACCGCCTCCTAACTCTTCACAGCGAAAACTTCCTGACTGTCCAAAACGGTTCGGGCCTTCAGCTGAAAACAGAGAAAACAGTTCCTGACAAGATTAACAATCCAGTTATTACTCTTCAAAACCTCTGCAAAGTCTCGTGATTTCATAATTGTGACTGATTTAGTTTTACACAGTTGTGTCACTTGTACAAACGTAATTCACACACGTCCCATGCCACTTTGCCTGTAAAACTTTCAGCTGTGGGCCGTAAAACTATGGTCAGTTAACCCTTGGTTTACAAGCTGTCCGCACTGGACTTAATTTGCTTAAGGTGACAACAGTCTCAATAAAGATGACATTAGTTTGTTAGTTTTACACACAAAAAAGGTCCAATGCGCACACCGTCTAACTATAAAGATTATTCTAAAGACTCACGTATTCCGCAGAAATCGCCACTAAATCCAGGCGGGCAAATGCATTCTCCACTCCGATCGTCACAAATACCGCCATTGAAACAGACTGGACAATCTGCATTGCACAATGGCGGGTTCCATTTATTCCTTTTGCATCCTACGAAGTAAATATTTAAAAAGTTAGCATCACAACATTTGTATTGAAATCGTACATGATCAAAGGGATTCCTGTCTTCGGTTCATCTTCGTCTAAAAGTCAGTCACATACTTCAAGAAAACCGTTTGAAACTATTCATCAAATGGAAGTTGCGTCCGGGAGAGTGAATTTAATACTAGGTTTTGCCCTTTAAATCATTTAAAGGTGTCAAAATAGGCAGAATCAAATGAAAGTAATATTATAATTAACATGTATACCTCTGACAATCAACCGCATGAGTGCCTGCTTTCCATCACTACGCTTCCCGGCAAAATGAGCCTCATAGATTCCGGTGTCTGCAACACTGGCATTGATGAAATCCAAGTAAAGACTGCCGTGTCTGCCCGGGAAGACTTCACCGCCATCCTTTCTCCATCGAGTGTTGGTACGGGCTGTTGCAGTGACGGTCAGATTGACAGCATCTCCCCGGTATACTGTCTGACTCACTCGGGTAGGCAGGAAGTCAGCTATATAGTACAAATCATATGACATTTTATAACAGGCGTGTAGCGTCAGGTTGACAGGTAATTTAAACATGTTCTTTAGTCCGAAATTTGAGCGAAATATTTAAATTATTTTAAAAAAATAATGCGTACCTTTGTACGTTACAATTAAATGAGTGATATCAGGTCCGGCGCTAGTTTCATAGAGTTGCACAGAATTAAGAAGATTCTAGATTTAGGGCACACACGTCGGTTCTTCTCCTAAATACTACATGGGGGAGTTTTAACAGGAGGCCAGAAACACCAGGGCAAACCCCTTCTCCTTACTATAAGTGTCACTGGGTTCTTTTATGTGCATTGCATTACACAACACATGGGACCTACGGCTTTACGTCCCATCCGAAGGACGAAGCAATAATGGTTTAGTGCCTTAAAAGGGCACAAGTGTCCACCCGGCGGGCTCGAAACCACGCCACTGTTGCCTCTGAAACACCAGAGCAGGAGTCCAGTGCTCTTAACCGCTAGGCCATGACACTTCATGCGTCTGAAGCAACTTTTGAAAATAACGTGAATGGCGTGACTGGAAACATGACCTCCAATGCGTCGGTTCGATATTGCAGACGAAAGTTGTACCTGGAACCCGTAAGGCATGGTATGCTGTGTTAACGAACTTTTCAACAATTATCGTTTCTTGAGAAATTGTGTTTTATATCCCAAACAGCCGCATTACGGAGGAAGTTCCCTTTAAGCCGCCCTGACACCTTACATGCCTAAGCTATTCCTTGCCTAAGCTATAACATTCGTGTCGACGGCTGAAAGGAATGACGACTATGGAAATAAATCCTGAAAGTTTACTGACATTTCAAATTTCCAAATGGTGGGCTGGAGTTGGCTGAATGGGCACCAAAATGAAGATATATGGCGATGTTCATAAAACTTGTATACAAATGTGTAGGCCTATTTCATGTCCGAGTTACACAGTTTACACCCAATCAAAGAGGTTTGTATCCTAAAACTATTAACTTCACTTTGATTTCAGAGTGCTTTTGGTGGTATTCCTGTTTTATTCACTTTTTGATATCAATTACAACGAATGATTATTTTTTTTTGCATACATGGGATCCTTTGGCCTATCCTCCGCATATGTGTGACATATCAAAATGAAGAATAACCCCCACCTTTGAATTTTCACGTTATGTACATCATGTTAAAGCGCAAAAGAACGGCTTTCCAATGATACCAAGTTTATTTCTGTGGTTTAGTTTATTTTTAAGATATGACGCAAGATTATCAACAGTGTCCTGCCAAATTTCGCTAACCTCCTTTCGAGAAAAACGGCATTGAAAAAAGACACGCATTTCACCACCAGCGGCATTGAAAAACGTTCTTCAGTTTCCAGTTATGTGGGTATTTTTCCCCAACAAAAATGCATAGTGTGCATCTTGGATACATTGGCTACTCAAAAATACAAAACAATCAATATCGATTTTTGACATAATTTTTCTAGCATGTCCGACTTCAGGCGTCGATTACGCAAAACAAGGTTTTTGGGGACATTCCTCATTTTGCCTCAGTCGGTCACATATAGGCACACAGCGATGTCCACAGCTATACAGCAATTTGCAGGAAATTTGAAGTGGGCGTATATACTTTGGCCTATCCCCCGGTCATAAAGGGCTATATCCTCCCCGTACCCCGGAATTAGACAATGTCCCTGATGTTCCACTCCGGCAAATCATTAATTTATCGCTTTAATTTCGATTATTAAGAAAAATCATTAATTTATCGATTTGTTGTCGATTATTAAACAAAAACTACCCCTCTGTATCCTTTGCATTATGTATCCATGATGATATAAAAACCTACCTGTTTTGCTCATGATGACGGTACCAATGCTGACGTTACCACTTCCTGCTATCATAGCATTACAGGCAAAGGCTCCAATCCTAGTCTTCCCTCCAGCCGCTGGCAATCGAAGAATAGAGATTTCATCTCCCTCTGATGACGAGCGTGGTTTCAAACGGTGGTATGAAGGTAGCCCTAACGGGTCGTTTATGTTATCGACGCTTGTGTACGTGTAGGTTGTTCGAGCGAAGGACAGGTTGGCATTACCGCCATGTAGATAGGCTGCGATGTAGGTGTATTCACTGTCGATATCAATACGGGGCTTGGTGATACAGGTGAAATCGTCAAAGGTCAACTTTTCTGAAATTGAACAATATAGAGAGAGAAATTCAAGGTGTAGTTGCATGAAATTAACGCAAACTTTCCCGGACATCATTTATTCTTCATTACCAAAGTAGAGAACATAAAGCAGCACAATCTACACCCACGTGCGTCATTAGGGGGTGGTCTGACATCCCCATTATTCCTTTTTGCCAGCTAAATATGTCCGCATATATGCCGCAAAGCATATTTTCAGTCTAATCTGCCTTGTTGAATAGCGCCCTCATTGGTTAGTTGGTGTCCAGCATCCCTCCCAACCCCACCCAAACTTTATTTCCTGGCTACCTTCCAGCACGGAGTGGTCTGCACGAATGCATTTTTGTTGTCATCGGTCTACACCAAAATTCGTTTTATCTGGCGGCGTCCGTGTCGATACCCATTCATGTTAGTATGTTGATCTGAAATTATCACTTGACGTCGGTAGTCCCTGCTGCCGTGTCAGCTTTGAAAGATTGAGATGACTGCAGTTATGAAGCACGTGTTGTGGGTTTGAATCCTTTATATACTTTACTGGGTAATTCCTGGTCAATTTACACTTTATCGACTCGAAAGTATTTTGTCAATGGTTACTGTAATTTCATTAGTCTAGAACGCGTTCAGTAAAAATATGATTGTCTCAAGACTAATATGAACAATTAATGTTCATTACCTTGGCAGCTGATGCCCGTGAATCCTGGCGCGCAGTCCCCGGGGCACTCGCCCGTAGTTCTGTCGCACGCGACCCCGTCCATGCAGTGACAAAGGCGACATTCTTGTCCATATGTTTTATTGTCACAGGCTGAGGTAAAAACGCCAAACAATATAACAGTGATTTACTTTAAATGTAATATAACGAGAAAGAAAACAAAAGAGAACAAAGAGTATTACCTTGGCAGTTGATGCCCGTGAATCCTGGCGAGCAGTCCCCGGGACATTTGCCCGTAGTTCTGTTGCACGCGACCCAGTCCATGCAGTGACAAAGACGACAATCTTGTCCATATGTGCCATTGTCACATGCTGAGGTAAAAACAAGACACGTCTACTGTAGTAAAGCTGGTCACAGAGCACATAAATCATATTTAATTTATTCAGAATGGCTAAAATGTTCGTAGAATCATTGCTTCATTTATAAATAACATACTTTCCTCGTTCACACGAAGACTGGAATTATTTCCAACACATGTATCATGTAAGTACATAAAACTATCGGCGCTAGACTAGCACACTAGATTCAACAAAACATACATAAACAGGAATAGGCCCAAGCAAGTATAACAATGCGAAAGAAAACAAAGACGACAAAATGATAAGTACCTTGGCAGTGGATGCCTGTGAATCCTGGCGCGCAGTCCCCAGGACACTCGCCCGTAGTTCTGTTGCACGCGACCCCGTCCATGCAGTGACAAAGGCGACAGTCTTGTCCATATCTGTCATCGTCACAAACTGAAACAAAACACCCGTATTGACATTCCGATACACGTGTGTACATTTAAAAGATCAACTAGTGCGAATATATCATTGAATGTTCATTACCTTGGCAATCGTTGCCCCTGAATCCTGGCGCGCAGTCTCCAGGACACTCACCAGTAGTTCTGTTGCACGCGACCCCGTCAATGCAGTGACAAAGGCGACAGTCTTGTCCATATGTGCCATTGTCACAAGCTGGGACAAAAGCAAGACACGGCAAGCCTTCTATATTAATGCTGGTCACAGAGCAAATAAATTATATCCGTGAATCCTGGCGCACAGTCACCGGGACACTTGCCCGTAGTTCTGTTGCACGCGACCCCGTTCATGCAGTGACAAAGCAGAAAGTCTTGTCCATAATTATGTGTTAGTGTCACAGGCTGAAATAAAACACCCGTCGTGAAGTTTTGATGCTAAGTTAAAGTGACGGCCTACATGTTAAAGTTTTAATTAATACGGAGCTAATATTGTATTATGAAGAACTCATCGAGACTCATTACCTTGACAGTTGATTCCTGTGAATCCTGGCGCGCAGTCCCCAGAACACTCACCCGTAGTTCTGTCGCACGCGACCCCGTCCATGCAGTGACAAAGGCGACAGTCTTGTCCATATGTGTTAGTGTCACAGGCTGAAACAAAACACCCGTCGTGAAGTTTTGATGCTAAGTTAAAGTGACGGCCTACATGTTAAAGTTTTAATTAATACGGAGCTAATATTGTATTATGAAGAACTCATCGAGACTCATTACCTTGACAGTTGATTCCTGTGTATCCTGGCGCGCAGTTTCCACGACACTCGCCCGTTGTTGCGTTGCACGAAACCCCGTCCATGCAGTGACACCTCTGTTCACAGTTTGCTCCATAAAAACCTTCAGCACATGCTACAACACAAGATTGTGACAAGAAAAACTGGTAAAATCTCCAAGAAAATTCCACGCCTGTGAGAAGTTGCCAAGAAATATCAAATGAACAATAAATGGAAAAATTAGACCTATGCCCATTTTGAGACGATGTATGGAATGCAAAGTTGGAACTTCCTAACCTCGTCCCCAGGGTGTCGAACAGTACGCACCCATCACTACCTGCTCTCTCACCCTGGTATTGGATCATTTGCATGTGCAAGATTTTTGAACACGTATGCAAATGAGGAACAGTCTGGTGCCTGGTTATGCGTTACATTAGCGTTTGTTTTTGTATGCGGTGTCTGGGGTAAAAAAAAACAGAGTCAATTCGTCGCAGCGCGAGCACGGCGTAAGTTACGAAAACACGATTTTTTTTAATTAAACAGTTACGATCTTATATCGAGACAACATGCAGTATCACATTTCATATTGATATGAGCAATTTGGAAAGGAAATAAGTATTTTCGAGAAGGCGTGGACGAATGATCGCGAAAACACGTACTGCACGTTGTGAATAATAGCACCAAGTACACGATAAAAATCCATAACTAGCAAATTGCGGTAACGAATCAGGATTCAGGAAGAAAGTTTCCTATCCAGGGCTTACTATTGGAAACTAGGTTGGAAATAAAGTGAGCACTTGGGACGAAGTTGGGAACTTCCGACTTACTTTCATCGCAATCGATTCCTTGGTACCCTGCAGCGCACGAGCAGCCATAAGGATCTGGTAAACAGAACAGCATCCCTGCACACGTAGGACCGCCTCCTAACTCAGAGGAGTCGCAGCCGAAACTTCCCGATTGACCAAAACGGTTAGGGCCTTCAGCTGTGAAATACAAAGAAAACGTTTTGTTTATCAAAATAAGAAAGAGGCCCATAACAATTTCCCATAATATGACGGCCTTCACTGCTCGGTTGTTTAAAGCTCATATTCCCCCCTCCCCCCAGGCCCCGCCGAAAAAAAATCAAACAATTTCCTTGGTTGATTTCAAGTCTGATTGGCAAATTGAAAGTATTTATCAACTTTGATTTATTGATGACCGCAGAGTAGGCCTACTTCGGGAATAACAATGTGTAGGAACTGGTCATGGTTTAAACTTAAAGCCATCGTCATGACGGGCTGCCAACCAATGGGGGTATTAAACTGTACAGTTCCATACACTGATGATTTTTTTATTTCAGGTTTTTCATTACAAACAAGAAAACCGTTAATTCTAAGACTATCACGGCTATTAATACGACTCACGAGTTTCGCAGATATCGCCACTAAATCCAGGCGGGCAAATGCAGTCTCCACTCCGGTCGTCACAAATACCGCCATTGAAACAGAGTGGGCATGCACTTTCACAGGTGGTCAAATCCCATTTATTCTCTTTGCATCCTATGAAACAAATCAAAACAGAAAACCAGATTGACTTCAGTGATATTTGCTTTCGCTGCAAAGTTAAATGATTTGTACTTTTCAGATGATTCATGGGATTAAGGCTTTCGATGTCTGATTAAAAGAGATTAACCTTTTTCTGTGACGTCACACTTTTGTTAAAAGTGTAGATTATTTTCACGAATCTACATTTTACTGTAGATTATTTTGAGAATCTACACCTAACTGTAGATTATTTTAAGAATCCACAGTTATTGTTGTGAACAATTCCATGTATATTCCGGCACTGTATAATTCCATGTATAATTCCGGCACTAAAGATTTCTTTTTTTAAGTTTCAGTGCATTATAATGAAAAGAAAAAGAAATGTTAATGGTACTCAAAAAGTACCAATTTTGTTGGGTTTTTTTCCGAAAGAATTTGACGTGTACCTGATTTTAATAAATACCTTACTACTTTAGTTTTTAAATTTGTACACAAAATGTTCTCGTTTGATTTTTAATTTGCCGTGCTGATATTTTTAATATAATATACGGTGGCGATTATAAATTTTATCCTAAAGCGCAGTGTAAAATATTCCTCTTTATGTTATTTGCAGTTCCCTATATATTTTATTTTAAGTCCTATTTTTTATATTTATATTATTATCTATATGTAAATGCTGAATTTTGTTTAATGCTCAAAATTCAGTTTTTGTTTTCTGTCTTTAAATTTGCATTATAAAAAAAATCAGTGGATACCCCTCGGTTAAAGAATATGTACACATCTTTCATTATCAAAATGACAATCATATATAAAATGGACGAATAACTAACGAAATCAAACTGAAACTTACACAATCATATACGTCTCAGAATATATTCCAATGTAGGCCTATATTTTCCAAGCAACATTATTTCCTGTGTGAGTGAGATGGGCATATTCCGATATGTAGCCTACTCATCATCAAGTTAAAGAAATGTGGTTCTCGATTGAATGGCCAATGACATGTGGTTCCACAAATCAAAAAGCTCTATGCACAAACGAGTTGCTTGCCAACTTTTTCTTGTGCTTGGTGTTTAAACTCCTCA